TGCACACGACATGCAATTCTAGTGAGGGAACGTTATAAAGTGAGAGAAAGACTTGTTAAATATACATACACGCACATTTTAAAAATGTATTCTGTTGGAAACTAATTTAATTTAGTCCTAAGAAGGCTATAATACCATTTTCAACACCGTTAAGCTGTGTTTACATTAGCAAACAGTGCTGTGCAACAGGAGCATGAAACAGCTGTTGCTGAGACGCCAGCAGCGTACAAAGTACTCATACATGGGGGCTTGCTGCCAGCTAACTCCATGCTGGTGCTGTGGACTGAATGCTTCACACAGAGCAGCACACCTCAGGTGCAGTGCTGGAGCTTGCCTCTACTTTGGTTTCATGCAAAAGGGAAGTGGAGTACATGCTTCAAGCATGCCTTGTAATGAGAACAAAAACTTGCTGATTGTGTGTGTGGCTGCAGTCATGATATTTGCTTCTAAAGCACTCTCCTGACATGAACTAAAATGCTTCCTACAGTAGAAGTACTAAGTGCTATAAATGGTTTGCTTTAGAATAGCAACTGTGAGAAATGGCAGAAATGTAAATGCAAATCTCATCCACATTATCTAGATGATTGTGGGAAAATGGAGGGTATCTAAAATAACCTTCTAGGTACAAATTAGCCATGATAACTCTCAAGACAAAATGCAAAAACATTTTTCTATATGCTTGTGAGCTTCTGCAATTCACTAAGTTCAAATACATGATCTATCTTGGAATTACAATATGGTAATTTTAATTGCTCACTTGGAGTTAGCCAGGATGCTTGAATGCAAGCTTGAAATATTTTTTACATATTTCCAATGCAAACTGAAACAAATCCATCATGTGTTCACTGCTTCTTAGTTACAACTGGCATCTCACAGAAGGATTTCTTGGTGCCTTGCTAGTGACACGAACAGATTTGCATTGTGGTGGGATCTGCATGGTCACAGAATGTTTCCTTGTCAGAGATTGACCTGGCCACATCCTTTGGCCACATCTTTGAGGAATAACTTGAGAGAAGAAAGAGCTGCAAATATGGCTGTTATAAGTAGGCCAATGATCTATTGTTACAGGAGCTTCTTCCCTAACCTCCCCTCTCATTTAAGTAGTTGAAAGCATCCTCAGCATCTTTTCAAACTAGTCACAATCACAGAATCATCATAGAATCACAGAATCATCATAGAATCACAGAATCATCATAGAATCACAGAATCATCATAGAATCACAGAATCATCATAGAATCACAGAATCATCATAGAATCACAGAATCATCATAGAATCACAGAATGGCTTGGGTTGGAAGGGACCTCAAGGATCATCAAGTTCCAACTATTCTGCCACAGGCAGGGCCACCAACCTCCTGATCAGACACTAGACCAGGCTGCCTAGGGCCCCATCCAAACTGGTCTTGAACGCTTCCAGGGATGGAACATCCACAACCTCTCTGGGCAAAATACCCAAAGACCAAAATGCCCGTCAAGACAGCGGAGGCACTGCGATCTGGCCAAGAATGAGAGGTAAAGAAAGTCAGTGGGAAAAGTGTAGAAGACATATTAAAGGAAGAGGAAAAACACGAGACTGATGACCTCTCCTGGTTAAGAAATACAAGTCTACTCACTCATTTCTCACATGAAGGTTGCTCCTGCCCATTTTTAAACATCGTAACTGCTTTTCTTTTTGAGGTTCTTAGGCAACCCTTCGGGCATGTGGTGGGGTTCATAAGCTCACTAGGGAGAAAGCTCTGAGATAAGAGATGAGCCTTTCTTTTGTTTTGTTAAATTGCAGTCAAGGTACTAAAAAATGCTGTTTCCTTTCTCTTGCTAGTCTCTTATGAAAACTGGCAAAGCACCAAAACCTAATCTAGACGAGAAGCTTTGGCTTTTACAGGTTTTAAAATGAGTGATTTACTGCTGCACATGCACCATGATGCTATTCCCCCTGCAAGTAAGCTCTCACAGCGCAGAGAACTGGCGGGTGTGCACGAGTTACATGTCTCTTGCTCTTTGCGCCAAATGCCTGCCTCTCCCAGAGCTGAGTCCATCCAGACAAAATACAGAAGGGGAATCTGTCTTCAGGCTGTGTTCCAATCTCCCTTTCTCTAGCAACTACATAAACCTGCCTGGCCTGTTCAGTAACTGCCTACATGAAAAACAGCTATGGCTGCTTTAACAACTAATGACAGTGAATTTCTAGGTGCTTTTTACTTCAGTTTTACAACTGAAGCCAATACAGCTTGAACCATAACCTCTTCACAAATACAAGATCTTCACAGACTACCTCTGAATGAGAGTGATCTTCCTTCCCTTGGCTCCAAGAGGTGATTAAGATTTGCAGTCACAGGCAATATTAAGAAACAGCAGCTGTGCTGCCTGCAAGATCCCAGGCACTCGAGGAAGACATTCTAAAAAAATAAAACAAAACAAAAACAAACAACAACAAAAAAAAAAACAACAGTGTAACAGATGTGAAAAAAAAATGCATGTTAAGTCAGCTGAAATCTTATTGCCAGGAAGTCTTATCACCATAACTTTTCCCTTCCCAGCTCTAGAACAACAGGTTTCCTGAGTATCACAACTTGACATGGCTGATGAGCTGAATACTTCAAAACATCTGCTTTTTATCAAGGGCCAATGATTGCCTTCAGGCCTTCTCTTTGGTCAAGGCAACCGAGTCCCAGCTCAGCATCTGAAACACCAAAACACATAGGGATAAAACAGGCACTGTTCAGAGGAGTTCCTCTCCTCTCACTACAGCAAGCCTTAAGTGGCTGTGCCTGCATCGCTGCACAGCTTTCAAGTACTAACTACAGGCAAACAATGAATCTGCCACCAGATGTCACCAAAATGCTATTATACCTGCTGCGAAAAGCCCGACTGAATCAAGCCTCTGGATTTCCTGGAGATAGGGGAAGGATTACAGCACTGTTTATTAACCCAACAGCTGTAAGAGGTCATTCCTTTCTAGTACTAGCAGCTGTGAATGAGCTTGAAAAAGACGATCCTTGCAATTAACTGGCATTACTGTGCATTCCAAATTTACTTGTGTAACATACATGCTATTAAACTTTGCAGAGAGTCTGAAATTCACATCAGTCATGAGCTGAAACTCAAACTGAGGAGTTTAACACTAGCAGAAATTCTGTCAGTGTAAATAAAATCCTGCTCTTTAATGTTTTCCCTTTCTCCATTAACAAAGCACTCCAAGACCTGCTGTCATCACAGCTGCTCAACTCTTTTCCTCCAGCCTTCCCAGACACAGGCCCATATAAATAGCCTTATTTACCTGCATTCTATCAGTCTTTACTGATGGGCAGATTAAATGAATTTACCTCTCACCTTTTAGTGGATAAACAGTCCCTACTCTTAACAGTGTTACAATTGTCAACTTCTCTGTAATGATATCAGCATTATACAGAAGGTGGGATGATCACATGTTCTGGGTTGGAGAATGAGACTCAAAACAAGAGCCTGACAGTTTAAAATTAAATTTATCTGGAGAAAATTGTTTACAGCAGTTTGTGTTAATGTTAAGCTGCGGGAGAAATAACACAAATATTTCACTTAGCATTTTTATTTAGTTTTCTGAAAGTTTCCTGTTTCTCTTTACAGAGCTTGACTGCCTTACAGAGGTCACCTCTCCAGTTTTTCATGCATAACAGTCTGAAGTGTCTGCTTCAGTTCAGATTTAAAAGATCAAGAAATCAGTCACAAGCTAAAAAACATGGCAGTGTGTGATGCCTGAAGATTGATAGAACAGTTCAGTATGTGATTTTAGACCTCCACATTGAATAATGCATACAGTTGTGTCTCCTTCCCAAATGGAAAGCCTGAACCATCCTGGTATCCTTTTTCCAAGTAAGGCAAAGTGCATTTAGAAGGGATACAGTATGCTTCTGTAAGAGAAAAACAGGCTTGGGAGAAAAAAGAAAAAAAAAGGTGTATCATAGGATGAAAAGTCACAGTTAACAACTGCAAAGCCACAATTACTTAACACTGCCCAAGTGTCAGTGCCTACCAGATACTCAGGTGGTGAGACTACAAAGAGCAGACACTGTACTGTTTCCTGTGCAAAAAAGGAAATCCTCTGTTCCTTTCCTGTGGGCACTGGTGTGGCCAGCCGTGTCACACAGCTGATCAGCCAGAAGAGTCACTGAGGATGCTAGTTTTAGCTGGGACCAGTCCTTACTGCCTCTTGTTCAGAGGAAGCACTATCAGTAACACTGACAGAAGAAGGAAGTGAGGACACTTACCTGAGCAGGGGACAGCTCACACCAAATCTACTTAAAACAGTGATGAACACTACACCCTTATCATGTTCATATTTAACATACTGACTACAGTTACTGGGCCAGCTAGAAACTACAATTCTGCAAAAGACCAAACATGTTGTTGTAGTACAGATCTGCGTACTGAATGTTGAAAAAGTGCCCATTTAGGCCTCTGGGTTGGCTTCTGTCCTCATACTGCAAAGAATGCAATTCTTGACACGAGGAAACCATTTCTTCTGAATTTTAATTTTAGGTTGATGTTTATTTATTATAAATTAGTAGCTGAGTAAGTCATACCCCAGCTGTTTATTGGGGAAGAACGTTCCAACACGGTATTTGAACTTTTGCTTAGAAAATAAATCATTTCCGATTTCTTGTTTGTATGTTGGTGTTAAAAACAATTTTAGATTCAGACTGTAAAAATCAGTTCTGGGTATTTCTTGGTATATCCCATACCTGAATCTTCATGCTTCCCTTCATCCACCCAGAATTTCACTACTTGTCTTCTCTGACAAACATATCAAAAACACAAGAAGTGTCCTCAGGCTACATGGAACATTTCCATTTTCACTACTTGCACTGGTGAAGCTATAAAATAAAAACTAAACTCCTAAATAAGCCAAATAAGATGCTAGAAGTTTTTATCTAGTTTCACCATTAATCACTTAAGAAAAAGGAAAAGAAAAAAAAATTGTAAAAAGCAGTCAAACTCTACAATGGCAATAATTTCAGTAGTATTTAGATCCTTTATTTATTTTATATCACCACTTGTAAATTCCCATTGTCTGGACAATATAATAAAGGAGCTAGGATAGACAGAAATTCCAATTTTGAGAAAACATATAAAAATTACAATTATTATATTAGAAACTCTGTTGCAAGTATATACAAAATAATTATCAAAGCATTTGCTTCAGACACTAAGTCTGTAAGTCATAACATCAACCATTTGATCCAAGAGAGGCAGTGCTAGACACAGATGCCTGGGAAACCATCTCAACGGTGGAACTGTAAAGCGAAAGAAAATAAAGGATACAACAGTGCTAACCTCTGCATTGTCCTGGTGAGCTACTACTACAGGCTGGGAAAGGAATCACATTCAGAATGAATAGGCAGCATCTCCATTTGCTTCATTCTGCCCGTTCCCTCCAAAAATTCCCAAATCAGCAGATGGTTTTCTTGGGACTTTTAAAAGACCATCCAGACATTCACCAGCCCCGATTTCAAAAGGGCAGAGGGAAGGACGTCCTCTTATAACTCAGACAGGACTTTAAAATGGTTTCCTGAAAAGAAGCAACTCCCAGCTTGTGATCTCAAGGTCATCCAACTTGACATAAAACTTCCCATAATCAAACGTACCCGCGTTCTGTAAGTAACTCCATTCCCAACTATAGTTACAAAGTCTACAGTAATATGTTTAAACGTTTGTTAGCTGTCCAAATGGTACCCCAACCATCGCCTGTATGAATACTTCAGACTCTGTACTTCCATTTGTCATCAAGCAAATCTGACTCAAGAAAGAGACAAAATCACATTGCTGCAATCATTTCAATCTTCTACTAAGCACTGTAAGTCAGTTACCCAATTTTGAAAGCGTTGCTTCATATTTGTGAGGTTCGAGCGCTGCCAGTTCTTTCCCATCGTACCACTCCTGCAGCTGATTTGACTCGTATTTGATGGCGGGTTTTTCAATCTGCATTCCAGGCTCCAGAGCATTCTGTCCAACTATTTTAAGATCCACAATTTTTATTTTCCAGGTATTCCCTCTAATTGGACACCTAATGAGTCCAAAAATTTGTTCAAAGATACCCAAACACACATTGCTTCTATGTACTGTGCCAGCCACTGCTACCAATACTAACCCATGGCGAGACATGGCACATTTCAGTCCATCAGCAGTCAAGTTAGGGTTGAATAGAAGATATTCTTCTTTAACCAATGAGAGCAGACGAAGGCTCACCATTTCTGCACCATCATATTCTTCCACATTTTTTTCTACTGTGTTGTAACAGAACTTCATTTTGGCATTCTCCCAGAAATGCTGTGGTCCCCACGTTTCTTCAGATTTTACTCCCAAAGGATGCTGAGAATTCAGGAGTTCAAAGAACCATTGGCAGAATTCTCCTCCTAGATTACGAACATCATCCTGTGACTTCTGCCTCTTTTCATGACTCTGCAATTAAGAATAATATTTTCTTAGTGCTATTTAGTATTACCACGCGAGTTTACCAGTCTGAACAGTTCAAAGTCATTTAAATTCTTACTTTAAACATTATCAATCTTCAAGTCTTTGAGATAGATTAGCTGAAGAAAACAACAAAGAAAAAGAAAATTAATTCTTAAGATAGTAATCATCTATCGGATAAAGAATCAGAGTAGGCTCTTTGAAATGTAGTTCTGCAAGTCTGCTATTTATAATCCAAGAGAGAAATCCTGGCTCTACCAGGAGGTGCAAGGTGCTGGAACAGGCTGCCTAGAGAGGTTGTGGATGCCCCATCCCTGGAGGTGTTCAAGGCCAGACTGGATAGGGCCCTGGGAGCCTGGCCTAGTATTACATGGGGAGGTTGGTGGCCCTGCATGTGGCGAAGGCGTTGAAGCTTCATGATCCTTGCTGTCCCTTCCAACCCAGGCCATTCTGTGATGCTATGATAGCAAAAAAAAAAGGGCAGAGAAATGTTTTGAACCTCTTGCAGCTCTTGTTTCTTCCTGCCTTTCAAGCTTGCGAATTGTGGAGCTTTCTGCACCTTCAGACAACTGACAAGAACAAATACTTATGGAGAAGTCACCTTTTGAAAATGCACATCTTACTACGTGGAGCTGACAGAATACTTCTGATTTGCGGCCAGCAGCAATACTTGTGCTTTAGCACGGCCAACAGAGTTTGCCAACAAAACACATGAACAATTCAGGTTCTTCCTTATTAATTCAAAGAATTAATGTGCTCCAGAACTTTCTCAGCACCAGATCACATGCCTGAATTTAGCTTTGCGTGGTACTGAGACTGCCAAAATCATCCAAAATGTGTTTGGTCACTTTCTACGTCATGTTTGTAGTCTTCAGTATGTTTCTAATAGAAAAAAAAAATAAAAAAATGAAAGAATACCATGGCTTATTTTCTGTTCTTCATGGCTGCTCTTCAAAGCAAACAAAAACAAACAAACAAAAGCAAAAGTCTTTGTGAACTTCAGTTGCTTTTCTAATGGTAAAATGGATCACTTAAACAGTACAGGAGGGCTGCAGGGACTTTCAAACAATATACCTGCTCTGGGAATTAAGGCAACTCCATTCAGTCAGTCATAAAATCCTTCCCTCAAAGTGTAATAAAATTCTTTGTTTGACACTGAGTCTGTTAAGAAAGTATTTTAAAGTAGTGCTTTAAACATTGCCAGCAGACAGCAAACCCTTCAACGAATAACCTGGAAAGGTTCAAGATTCTTGACTTGCTTAGAAGCCTCAGGGAAGAACAGACTAGTGAAAGAATGTATGAAGCTACTCAAAATACACCTTCCTCCAGTTCCCTAAGGATCATGAACAAGCTGTGTGCTATCCTTTACCTTGTTTTACAGAATACGACACTCCTAAAATTCATCTAAGACATAAGGATAAAAAAATACTTCATAATAATATCCGGTCTTCAAAAAAGGCAAGAAGGAAGACCCAGGCAATTATAGGCCAGTCAGCCTCACCTCTGTCCCTGGAAAGGTGATGGAACAGCTTGTACTGGATGTCATCTCCAGACAACTGGAAGAAGAGGAGGTTATCAGGAGTAGTCAGCACGGGTTCACAAGGGGGAGGTCGTGCTTGACCAACCTGGTAGCCTTCTATGATGTTGTCTCTGGCTGGGTGGATAGGGGGAGAGCAGTGGATGTAGTCTACCTTGATTTCAGCAAGGCATTTGATACTGTCCCCCACGACATCCTTATAACAAAGCTGAGGAAGTGTGGGATAGATGAGTGGACAGTGAGGTGGGTTGAGAACTGGCTGACTGGCAGAGCACAGAGGGTCGTTGTTGGTGGTGCAGAGTCCGGTTGGAGGCCTGTAACCAGCGGTGTTCCTGAGGGGTCTGTGCTGGGTCCGGTCTTGTTCAACATCTTCATCAATGACCTTGATGAGGGGATAATGGCCACCCTCAGCAAGTTTGCCGATGATACGAAGTTGGGAGGATTGGCTGACACGCCTGAAGGCTGTGTTGCCATTCAGCAAGACCTGGATAGGCTGGAGAGCTGGGCAGAAAAAAACCGGATGAGGTTTAACAAAAGCAAGTGTAGAGTCTTGCATCTGGGGAGGAATAATTCCATGCACCAGTACAGGTTGGGGGATGACCTGCTGGAGGGGAGCTCTGCAGAAAGGGACCTGGGTGTCCTGGTGGATGACAGGTTGGCCATGAGCCAGCAGTGTGCCCTTGTGGCCAAAAAGGCCAATGGCTTACTGGGGTGCATTAAAAAGAGCGTGTCCAGCAGGTCAAAGGAGGTGATCCTCCCCCTCTACTCTGCCCTGATAAGACCTCATCTGGAGTACTGCGTCCAGTTCTGGGCTCCCCAGTACAAAAAAGAAGGGATCTCTTGGAAAGAGTCCAGCGGAGGGCCACGAAGATGGTGAAGGGCCTGGAGCATCTCCCCTATAAGGAAAGGCTGAGTGAACTGGGTCTGTTCAGCCTTGAGAAAAGAAGACTGAGAGGGGACCTGATCCAGGTCTATAAATATCTAAGGTGTGGGGGGCAGAATGGTGAGGCCGGACTCTTTTCAGTGGTGAGTGGAGACAGGACAAGGGGAAACAGCTGGAAACTGCAGCATAGGAAGTTCCGCACAAACATGCGCAAGAACTTCTTTACAGTGAGGTGACGGAGCACTGGAACAGGCTGCCCAGGGAGGTGGTGGAGTCTCCTTCTCTGGAGATGTTCAAGACCTGCCTGGATGCCTACCTGTGCGACCTGCTGTAGGGAACCTGCTTTGGCAGGGGGGTTGGACTCGATGATCTCTGGAGGTCCCTTCCAACCCCTACAATTCTGTGATTCTGTGATATCCGAGTTTAATGCTGAGTTGCTGAAAGTGACAGTCAAGCAATGCGTGTAAAATTTTGAAGCAAAATTCTCAGCAAGTAGCAAACCTGAGTATCAATTAGGAATCCAACCAGAAGAGGGCAGAAAACCACTCCAAGAGTTCTGTCAGTAAGTAGTGTATTTTTTAAACACCATTATGGGCTAGGCTTAAATAAAAAAACATTCTTTGCAGTCCTTCTTTCTTATGTCTTCAAGTACAGGTAGAAAAGTAAAAATGAAGTGCGAGCAGATAGGCAACAAGTTGGTTACCAATTAAATATTTAAGTTTTAAGTTGGTTATAAACACAGTTCTTTCTAAAGGAAAGGCAACAACTGGATGTTCAAGTACGGTTCCAAGAGTCTGTTTAATTCCTACAGATATGCAGTTCACTTACTCTCTTCTCTCTTTTACAACAGACAACATTTTTTACTTAAGAAAAATCATTCAAATTTCCTAACGTAGAGACACACGCTCTCCAAGTGTAAGGTGAAAAGGAACTAAATGTAAAGTTGTTTTGTAGGGTTTGTCAATCAGTCTGTTCCTAGAATTAAGTATGAAAGGTTTGGAGGCTTCTATATAGAAATCCTGTAACTGTCAAACAGGAAACTGTAACTTCACTTCTAATTCTATTACGTAAGTTTCTGCTACTCACGTCTTCAGCACAATGAGGACCAAAAGGATTAAGAGGAAAAGAAAAAGGCAAAGAAAGATGTTTCAGATCCATTCCAATCCAAGCCTTTCTATGATTCTATCATATGTACACAATAAGTAAAACGCTTGAACATCTCTTTCTTCATGAATGTTTTCAAGTGCTTTGGAGAAATTCATTTACCTATCTTCAATGACAAAACTTTGCCATAGCTGAATAATTGGAAGCATTCTTGCAGAAGCAACATTTTCTTTCCAAACACGCACATAAAACACTGTTTTAAAAGCAATTCTCAGCTAAATCTTCATTTTAATCAGCTAACCCCAGAGGAAACTCCCTGCATTGAATTATCAACAGCTACAGAGCTCCAACAGTCCAGCTGGTGGGGCTGTTGCTCATTATGTCACTGACATAAAGTACTTGAGAGAGCAAGGCTATTGAAAACTACATGGTAAAGATCCAGGAATAATAAAACCATGAAATTTCATTGCTCAACAGAGAGTTGGCAAATGTGGTAACATGAACTTCAAATTAACTTGAGTGTTACTAAAATTGAAGGCAAAATGGCATAGAACTGGCACTGCTGCAAACTCTACATTTCAGTGACACAAAATTCTCAAAAATGCACTCTATACTCCATTAACTGCAAGACCTAAGAAGAAGCACTGCTTACTGACAATGCTGTTTTGATCGCACTGCCTCTGCCTCTAGTAACATATCTAGAGCCCTTTCTAACAAGCCCTTACAAATGCTAATCCTTGCCATGGCTGGCAGAAGACTGAAAATCCCCAGCCCACAGTAAAACTTCTGAGAACATCCATCACATTAAAAATTGGCAAGGGACTATGCAGAGTTTCCACACCACTAACACTGCTTTGAGTTATCCTCAAATCTACAGAATTATCTGTCAACATGCCCTGTTTTTAACTTGCAGTTCAACTTACAAGCATGAAGAATACTTGCAGGGAGCATATAAACAGGAGGGGCAACAGCTGTTTACAAGGGAGGATATCAATAGGACAAGCGGGAATGGTTTTAAACTGAGACAGGGGAGGTTTAGGTTAGATATTAGGAGGAAGTTTTTCACACAGAGGATAGTGACACACTGGAACAGGTTGCCCAAGGAGGCTGTGGATGCCCCATCCCTAGAGGCATTCAAGGCCAGGCTGGATGTGGCTCTGGGCAGCCTGGTCTGCTGGTTGGTGACCCTGCACATAGCAGGGGGGTTGAAACCAGATGGTCATTGTGGTCCTTTTCAATCCAGGCCATTCTATGATTCTATATTCTATGAAGAACCCACACATTAGAGTTCAAATGCACTCATACTACGCTCGGCAAGTGATACAGTGGCACAGACACATTAAATTGTTTAATTAGAGCAAAAAAGCAAAGAGAAAAAAGAAATTCAGCACCTTCTCCGATACATGCAAAAAGCCTCACTTTGGACCGGCATTAGAGCATTGGTATTTTTTGTTCTGTATCCTGAGGTCTTTCAGAAAGTAGCACTCACCTCTGCACGTGTTGTTCTGTCCCCTGACTCTGAGACACATGATGTGAGCTTCCCGCCCCAGTACTGCCTTACACAGGCAATGAGTTGATGTTTCTCGGAGGAAGGTGGCACTGCAATTCCTTGTACTGACAAATACTTAAAAATTATTTCTCGATATACTTTTCTTCGTTTCAAAAGTTCTTCTGCACTTTGGCTGTAAATCAAGATGGCCTGAATGGCCTCTGCAAAGTGAAGAAATGGAGGTCAACAGTTGTAACACTCGCAATTAAAACGCAAACCTCTGCTATTTCTTAAGCTCTTGATTGGTACCTCCCAACATATCCTAATGCTAAGTGAGACACAAATTGCTATAAATTTGTTTGTAAGCTGAAATCCGAAGTAACTAGATACAAGTCACGTTACAAAAGGATACCAGAAGCCTTGGGGAACGTGTACAAAAACCAGCACTGGTTTTACTGAAGACCTACTGACCTTGTAATTGCTGCTAACCATTTGGAGCCATGTATTATTTAGTTTTGATGAAAACAATGCATCTTTCTTTTCCAAATGAAACTACCAATATTTTTCAGGTTGAGCTGTTCAACTCCAGGTGCCTTCAGAAGTGTAAGGGTTCCTGTTCGCAAAGCATTTCACCCACAATCCCAGAGACACAGCTTCCCATAACTTCAAAATAGGTTGATTTGATTCTAATGTGGCAGAGTGCTTAGGGCTTGCTGCTTCACGCCATATTAGGAAGCTCATGTGCATAAGCATCATGCATAGCAATACAATGACAGTGCACCAAAATGCAGCATTCAAACACTCAGCTGCAAGGTTCTGCGGCAGAATTAGGAACTCAAGATGAAATGTATTTTTACAGTCGTTGCTGGCAGCCAGTTCTCACCCAAACCGAGATTGGATTCTCAGTTTATATATCAACAAACATTACGTTCAAACACAAAATGGAACATAGCTGAAGAACCGAATGTCTGCCCCTTTTATCAAAAAATCACTAACTAAAAAAAATAATAATTAAAAAAAAATTAAGAAGGCTGGAGAAAACCTGCAGGCACGGACGCAGCCCCCGAGGCGCTCCAAGTGTTCCGCAGGGCCCGGGCCCGTTCCGCCTCCGCCGCTGGTCGGGTGCTGCCGCCGGTCAGAGGCCAAAGCGAACACACGGGCACACGGACCGTAACCCCCGCCGCCGCGCTCAGGCACGGGGCCAGGCGCCCGTTTCCCCGCCCCGGGATGGGAGCGAGAGGGCAGGAAGGCTGCCCGCCGCAGGGGAATCCGCACACCTTGGCGGTTCTCCGGATGTATCAGACGGTTCGTAACGGTGTCCGTCAGCGCCATCAGCTCCTCGGTCTCAAGCAACTCCAGTATGTCGCGGCAGCCGGCTTGCTCCCGCTCGCTCAGCCCCAGCGATGCCATCGTCCGGCCCGGCCGCCGAGCTGGATCCGCTCCCCGGCCGAAGCTCTAGCGACGGCGCGCCCGAGCGACATCGACTTCCCGTACGGGGCTCCACGCAGTCCCCCTGCGGAGCAGCGTCCGTTGGGCCACAGAAACCGGGCGGAAACAGCGGCCGGCACTTAGGTTCCGCCCCTGCTCACAAGCAGAGCTCAGGCTCGTCGGCCAGCCGCCGGCAATGAATTTAGCAAGAGGCTTGCGTATTCGCAGTGGGGCTGGTGCCTAATAACGTTCAGAGTGAACTCGAAGCTTTCGCTGCTCGACCAGACATTGCAGTGGTATTCACAGAGCAGATCCCCAAAAGACAAGATCGCTTGCTATCAACAACAAAGACAACGTTTTATTGAACAAATCTATGTACAGTACAAAAAAGTTTTTAAAATGAAACACTACTGTTGATTTATTGCAGTTTGATGGCTCAGTTTTTAATTTGTACTCTCATATAAAATGCAAAGTAAAATAATTTAACATTCAACAAGGAAGCACAAATTTCCTTTCTTGCTGAACCTGTAACAGCTTTTACAAATTAACAGAGTCCCCAAATGCATACGCTGCATTTAATCAGAAAGGTGTTATACAGTACCAAATAAATTAAGAAAATAGTAATACTACCGCCCCCTTTGAGCCTTCTGTCCATACCACCGGTGTTAAACAATAAAAGAAATGAGTACAGCTGAACCTTCAGTGTGATATTAAAAAATCACAGAGTTTAATATTATAAATTATCCAAACTATACAATTTATATAGTTTCAATGAATATGGCTAAATAACCAAAGTACCAGTGACCTTTCCCCCACAGATACAACCACTTTCAATAATTATACCTTTTGTGAAAGGTGCCCACTAAGTGGCAACTCTCTGAGAATTAGAGCTTACATGACCTTTACAGTGAACTGCCATCAGGTTATTGTATTTCTTACAGTGAAAGTTTAAATCCAAATTGAAGCCACGTTATTAAAACCTGGTTATCAGCAATAAAATGCACAAACTTTGATCCAGTAATGCTCCTACGTTCATGTGTAACTTGAGGCAATTTTTTAAGTGTCCATGCTGACATTACACATGTACTCCTGCATTTACTGACTCAAAGCAATACATCCTGATGAATTATTTCCCATTACATGTTTAATGTCTGGGACTAAACCTTTCAATTCTAGACTCAGAGCCTTTTTCAGTCCTAAAAGTTGCAGGCTTAGTATAGGATAATACTCAACATACTAAAGAATCCTAAAGAAGCATGTAGAATCCCACACACATTAGAAGACCTTTTTGCTCATAACTGAATACTGCAACTATCTGGGAATACCAACAGGTATTAGAGAACAGTCTGAAGCAAATACAGTGTCTTCTGAAGTAAAATCATTACTTAAAAAGAAAAAAATTACCACCCACTTGCCACTTTAAGTCAATTTAAGATATTTCTGATAGGCATTAGGTGATAGCTAATGCTCACCTATGTAAGAATTCAGTCTTCCAGTTCTCCCATGTGAATATTCTTAACACGTGGTATAAACAAATGGTGGTGTCCAAGAAAAGCGACTTTGAACAAAAATGAGTTTAATACAGGTACAAAAAATTATGGTCACAGTTTATGCACGTACATAGATGCATTTATCTACACACTTTAAACCAAAAGAAAAAAATACAAGTTTCAGTCATGTTTTTAAAGCATATGCAAACACACGGAGCTCCAGGAAAATGTAAAAAGCACCAAAGATTAAAAGTACACTTCAAGGACTTTACACAAACATTTGTCACATCTATTGATTGAGTTCCCAGATTTTAAAAACTGCAATAGTTTTCTTTTTTTCCCCCCCAAATACACTTCAGCAAATTTCACAAGATGTTAAGCAAAGAAAGGGGAGTCTGGGAACATTCAAGATGCTAACTGGGTCCTTAAAAATTACTCATAGTTGGTAGCTTGAAGCAAAAAAATAAAAATGTGAAAGTGCATTTTGCTGATAACAGTCCCTCGTGTTTGAAGTTTTTAAATGTATTTATATATGTAAATATATATAGACTGTGTGTATGCAATATATATGAATGACACATTTAAACCACTTTTCTGCAAATGCAAAAAAAATTCTTTGGTGCCTCAAACGTCACAAAGATCTCTCAAAGTGGGCCAGCCATTGATATCAATGTAATGTACACAGCTGTGATCATAATTTTATACCCTTTCATGTTAATACAAATAAAGGAAAGGCAAAAAAAAAAAAAAAAAAAAAAAAAAAAAGAGCCAAACCAGTAGAATTACCAAAAAAAAAAAAAAAAACAACCCAAAAACTGATTGTGTTCTTTTTACCTTTCAGGAAGGAAAAAGGAAGCAGAATTAATGCAAATATCTGCAACTTCACAGAGGATTATTAGCAGAGGCATTACTGAACTATTAAGTTCCAGAACTATTTAACAGCTTATTTTACAGTGAAACCCTTAAGATTGCAAGTGTGAGCCATCACTACAATGAACAAATCTTTCATTTACCTCATTTTTTTTTTTTACTCATTAATTTGTATGCATCTCAATGTAAGCAAGCCAATCATCTTACTAAGTGATACAGATGTTGTGATGAGCTATTCAGGAAGCAAACTGGCTGAGCAGGAACAGTTGGCCTTCACTGTCCTACATTTCTGTGCTGATTTCATTTGTACACAGCATTTTTCATCAATGGACCTTCTGTGAGCATAATCACACAAATATTTCCAGCTAACAACACGGAATATGACTTCAAAAATAACTTTTATGGCAAGATATTGTAAAACAGTTATTAGAGGATAAATTAACACATTAATTAGACAATGTGCATGTTTGCCACACCTCTGGAGATCAAAAACTGTAACAGCATCTTTTTGGTTTCATAGAATGAAATAAACTGATTTGGAATGGAACATAAAGATCATCCAGTCCATCTTATGCTTCCAAACATCCCATCTTTCTTTGGGATCTAGACAGGTGAAAGACTCAAAATTCTCACCATCACAAACTTTGTGATCGTTTTTATGAACAGTCAGTTGCTGAATAAAGTGCTTAACATTAATTTAGTTCCTTCACTAACTTCTGGGAAAGACTATCTCCTCAAGAGATGTTGCTAGATACGTTTGTACTGTATCTTGAGGCTGAGTTGATGCACATTTTCTCCCTCTCTTTAGACAGCAAGTAATTTATTACAATATTGAGTTGTGACCTACCACCATTAGGTAATACCACATGTGTGAAATAAGCTCTTCCTGCTCTTTTTCCTAACTTGAAACACATCCCTTGGTTTCATCTGTCATTATTTCTTTTTTAAAAAATAAAGAAATAACATTAAAAAAAAACCAAAAAAACAGGAAAACTTTTCAAGTTCTCTTCAGTCGTATCAACAACTGAAAGATCCCTGTATTTGCATAAAATCAATTAAACTCTCCTCTGCAGTGCACGCCTACCCCTCTGCACACTCTGCATTTGTTTCATTCTGCTTCTGTTAATATTCAAAGAACGTGTGCATTTACTGTTTGTATTGGCCTTCCTGTATGTAAAACAGATGTTTTATGGGACAACCTACATGTATTTTAACCACAGACTTGTAAAGGCCTTCTCCTGCATGCATTTGATTTCTGCTTTGCAAAACTTAATATCACACCAATACACTTTTTGCTTGTGCGCTCTGTACTTCAAGAGTTGGGTTTTCTTTTTGCTGTTAGAGCTTTCCATCCATCTTAATTTCTTTCTGCATTACTCTTTTTGGATTCCAAGTACTAGTTTATTAAATAAGCTCCACACCTTTTAGCAGATAATGGAATCACATACTCAAACTCTGAAAAAAGAACATTTAGTTCCTCTGTACACTTCTTATACACTTCATCATAAAGTGACACATTCTTGAACGACTTCAAAGCTGAGTGGATGAAGAGCTTCTAACCGTATTTCATAACTAAAGCAGCTTACAGAACCAGCTGTTTTTATTTCTATAAGGTAATTAATGCCTCTGCTTTCTCTGCCTGTCCAGCTGTATGCAATGTTTTCCTTAGACCTTTGTGCTAGAAAGACCATGCTGCTAAGCTTCAATCACGTATTTGGAATGGATGTGGCTTTTTGGATAACTGGTACTTTGGGGATTTTGTAGTAACCTTTCTGGATTCAAAAGCTGCGGAGCGCCCATAATTCCTCTGTGAGTTCTGCCTAGAAAATGTGCTTTGTCTTCATCAAGGTCATGTTTTCTCTAGTAATTTGAGAATGCTTTATGATTTAAGGCCAACTGGGAAACAAACTCCTGCTTCTTCATGTAGTGTTTTCTTACACCACTGCTCATTTGATACATTTTCCCACAACGTTGAATCTCAGGCACCTGCAAAATAGAATAGATAGGTTAATCCTCATTTCGTTATCAGTGTAAATAATTGCTCCATTTGGAACACTGCTCACATTTTCCTACACGTGTGGCTTCAAACCTGCAAAAAAAAGACAGACTGAAATTCTCTTCTCTGTTTTATAATAAATCTTTTCCATAAAAGATGCCTACCAATTTTCATCACCTCTTTTTATTGTAGACAACACTTGTAATTTGAACTTCCTATTTATGCAATACTATGTTTCAAAGTTCAGGTCACTGTTGATGTGAGTGACCTTCCTCTCTTTAAATTCTGTCATACTACAATTGCTTACAAGTGGTATGTGTCATTCCTGGTCCATCAGACAGCCTGTTTACAAGAACCACTATCTGTTTGGTATTTGCCTCCACACAAATAAACCCAGAAGAACTGTAAGACTTACTTTCATCATCTGAGTCGAATCCAAAGAGCGTCTGACATTTCTTTTGTGCAAGATGAGCCTCAAGTGCTTCTGAATTACAGTAGATGGTCAAGCAGTTGCCACATCTAAATCTTTCTGTTGTTTTACTACAACATTTATCTTGTTCTGAATGAGCATCTACTTTATCAGTCAACATTTTTCTACGTTTTGGCATGCTAATGTATCGTTCATCAAGATAACTTGGAGGCAAGGGTCTAACATATGGTTTTGTTAAGATGACACCATATGAAGTGTTTTCTGTTGTCTGATTTGGTTTAGAAGGTAGTTGCGAGGCAGCAGCATTATTCTGTGGCATATCGTGAGAATTCTGTAGAACTGATAACACCGACCCATTCTCTGTCCTTGTTTCATCTACCACTCTGTCCAAAGGTGTTTCTGACGACTTTGATGGTGTTTGATTTGGGTCACTGTGCCCATTGACCAGTTGGTCACTAACACTACAGTTTTCAGAATTTGGCTGTAATACAGGTGTCTTTTGGTCTATCAAAACCATTGCAGTGCCCTCAGATGAACTTTCATTTCCATTCTGCATTACATTATTTGCTTTCTTCTCAATACTTTGAATATATGTCTTTGGTTCTGTAGAATCCTTCCTTGACTTCCAAGTTGGAATTGGTAGATCTACAGTTTCATTTTCATTAACAGATTCATCATCATCGTGGCAACTACCAAGTTCTGAAGGGTCATCTGAAGAATCCTTTTCACTGGCATCTTCTGAACATTCTGATGTTTTACTTAAGTAATGCTGAGCCTCATGTTCATACAGCAAAGGGAGCTCCTCAAATAGCTCACAGCACTCTGCAAAATTGCACTGAGCTTTAAAAACATTATGACTTTTTGTATGCTCTGCTAGCTCAGTCGACAGCTTAAATCTCTGATTACAATTGAAGTGTAAACAAAAGTAAACGTTTGGATACACGTGTCTCTTCAGGTGGTCTATAAAATGTTGGGAATCGGCAAATTTTCTCTGACAGAACCGACATTTTCCTTTATTCCATTTCATTATATGTTGCTGAACCTTCAAATCAGTTGGATGAGCTTTTCTTGCGTGTTTATTGAGAAATCGGATCTTTTTAAACACTCTAGCACAACCATTAGCAGGGCACTTCAAGCTTCCTTCTTGATCCATAGCATCATAATATTTTTGAGGAGAGAAAGCTCCATTCACTTTATGCAAAATAGGTGACTCTTTACTGGAGTTCTCATCATCTTCAGGCAAGCTTTCTGTACTTAAAGCATCAGGAGCATTATTAAAGCAGCTGTCACAACTACTATTTTCAGTAACATCATCCTGGTCACTTAGATGGTTTTCCACTGCATTGAATACCTGTTCAGCCTTCTCCTGTCCTATGTCTGCACTTGGAACTACTGCAATCTCTCGTTCATCCTCTTTAGAACCAACAGAACTCCCATTTTCAAGAGAGGGACAAACATCAAAACGTTCTAGTTCATTACAAACCGGAGCCTGCTTACTGGCCTCAAGAACTGCAGCAAGATGTTGCCTTTCTATCTTTCTGACATGATTCCTTAGGTGCTTTAGCATAAGTCCTTTTTGCCTGAATTTTCTGTTGCAAAGTACACAGGAAAAACTGCCCTTTTTCTGGTGAGCTTGTGCATGTTTCACAATGTGATCACCAAAGAATTCCTTGTTGCATATCACACAGCGGTGCCTTGGTACAGTATTATCTAACATTTTAGATGCTTCAAGAGCTTCATGGTTCTTTTTGGCATTACTTTTGGACTGGGCTTCAGAGAGGTCTTCAGGGTCAAGCTCCCCATTGTTTACATCTGTTGAACAGACACGTTCCTCACTCATAGCCCTATACTCTGTTATCTTCTCTACATTTGCAGTAGAGTTTTCCAGTGTAGTTTCACTTAAGCCAGCAAAAGCTTTATCCTCCAGTAATGCTAAACAGTTCTGCTTGATCATCAAGAAATTCCAAAACTCAGGATCAAAAAACAAACCTTTTTTCAAAATAGGAAGCAATTCAAAACGTACACGGTTTTGAACAGAACTAGTGCATTCATTATATTCTTCATCTGCACATTTATATAAATGTTCAACAGTGTAGTAAGATTCCAAAGTGCGCTCAAGAAAAAAGATCGAAAGCGCACAAATTCTGAGGATCTCCAAGTCATTCGGCAGAAAGTGAGCAATTGCTTTGTAAATAAGACTTTTCATAGTGGGATCTTCACGGAGGTCCAACTGTAGGGCACATCCACATATCTCAACACATACCTGAAGACCATCCTCACCGACCTGCAGAAAGGAAACAATCGTATATAGCACCATAATTTTCCTTGTGGGCTTATTGAAGTCTAGAGATTGAAAGTCAAATCTAAAGAAGTCTGACCTATGGCTCTATGAGTGTGAGGGAGAGCTAGAATAAACAGTGCCCAAATATCAACAGCAAAGTGTAAGCTGTAAAATACTGCCTTTGATTTTCAACAGTGGCCACCAAGAAAGCTGTAACAGCCCATACTCGAGCATTTTACAGGCCTGAATTTTCAGAATTGACAAGATATCTTTCCAATGTGCAGAATTCCCTTTCCACGCTTAAGGCTGGGGGTCCCCCTCAAGCTTACAATTGCGAGGGATGGTCAGAAACATACTACCTAACATATGGTGTACTAGTAAGAAGAGTTTCAGTAAAGCTTACTATCCACCCAAATATACATGTGTGTTAAAATATATTTATTTATATCTTGGCTGTTAAAAAAAAAAAAGCAACATCCTAAAACTACTACGTCAAGGTATTCATGTCACTAGAAGTATTTTAGAACACATACTACGATTAAAATCTTGAACAACAGCAAATCATTGCATTCAGAATTGCAAAGCATTAGTCCTGACAAAATAATTTATAATTCATTTACGCAAATGTTTAAGGAACAGAATAGAGAAGCTCTGTTCAATCAAGTGAATGTTAAAAAGCAATGTGTTTAGAATCAGCTGGCACTCCTGTGCACAAAGGGTTGCACATTACATTTTCTCTTTTTTTTTTTTTTTGCAGGTGTTCTTTATGAAGAGCAGAAAACATGTGAAGCAAGAAATACAGCATATCTTTCTGAAGCAAAACTATGTTTTCTCTCATCTTAGTTTAGCTCTTCCTTCATTTTTGCTATTTTAAGCATTACTTCACATTTGGTGAGAAATTGTGGAAGGATTCAGAACTTAACAAGAGTGAAAGGCAGATACAATGACATAGAAGTCCTATTTCCTGGCTAAAAGAAAAAAAAAAAAAACACAAAAAGAGTGGGGGAAAAAACAGCCGCCACCCATCTTTCACATTTATTCCATGTATTTATAAGCAGTTTCCCCAAATGTTTATATAGAACGCCATTCCTCAAATTTTCTGCAGTCAAAAAGGAAGAAAAACTTACTTGACACAATTGAGTCAGAAAGAAGTCATGAAAACACTCAATAGATCAAAGACAAAATTGATATGGACACATTTGAGAACCTGACAGAGCTTTTAATTCTATGCCCTTCCCTGCCCGTTCTTCCCGTTCTACAGAAACATCTATATTACTTCTGTTTACTTGTAACACAAAGTATGGAGGGAAAGAGTAAAGATGTAAACAAAAAACTGAACTTACTTCATCCTTAATGACTTTCATGAAAGGGAAAATTACTCTGACATTTGTAGCAATCCTTAAAAGTTGGTAGCACTGGTCAACAAATACTTGTTTTGAGGGGTTAGATTTAAGCTGCAGTTTACTCCAAATGAAGATCAGGTCCCTATAAGCACAGAACACAATACTTTGATTATGTTGAGTATTAAAGAAGCCTATCACTAAGCATGACAGGTTACAAAGAGCAACAAGTCGCATACACTGCAATCAAATTTGTATTTGAGGACTTAAAGCAAATCTAATTAACAAAATTATATACAAAGTGCACAAGGGAAAACGGAACTTAATTACTTTGTTAAAGCATTCAGGGTATCTCCTATCACTCAGTCAATTAAGTCATGCAACAAAATATTAATATATTCAGTATAGTATCAGAGAACTGCACGGTATAATCATATGCTACAGTACCTAGCCCTTAACACCACAAGCAGCAAACATCAAGCTGCATAGTCTGTGTTTTCAGATTAAATTATGTTCACTGTAACAATCAGGAGTCCTTCAGGAAAACAAGTGGAATGCAAAATGTGGAAAACAAGACTATTGTCAAAATGCAGTCAGTAACATAGACTGTTGACAAGAAATGCTCTCTTTAGTTATTTACAATAAGTTTTCTTTTCTTGTCTGCTGTCATCATCAATCTTCCTAACCGACAGCAGCTACAGAGGAACATCAGCCTCCATCACTATTCACACATCTCTATCATTCAAGTCAAACAATATTTCTAACTGATACAAGGAAATGTAAGAACACAGTGCTAGACCCCTGCAGAGCTCTTACACAGGTAATGTGTTCAGTATATAAAACAGAACTCTACATCCTGTAATAAATTCTATGTTCTTTAATTCAGAGACTTCCACAATCAAATCTAACTCTTAGTCATACGAAAATTTGGCACCTCAAAGATTTTACACAGGACCTGATGCAGATAAGACTACACAGAAATTCCCATCGTAATATTGTGATGAAAAAAGGCGAGCAACTGTCTTTCATCTTCTGAAGGAAGATAACTTCTTTCTTCTATCAGCCTCCTACCTCAAGAGATGCAAACAGTCACTGACAAAATCCTTGGCTGATATACAAGAGTCCATAATGTATGCCAGATATAAATCAGATACATTTTACGATAAACTTAGAGAGGTCAACATCTGCCTGAAGAGAAGTGACATGACAGAACTGACTATGTCAGAACACTAACTTTGTTTTTAAATTTAGAACAGCTCTATAACTCTGTTTGACATGTTAAGCGTTAATTGAGCTAGATATGAGATCTTGATTACTTTCTTTCATCAGAAAACAGAAAGACTGAGGTCAAAAAGATAAGGCTTACACAGGGGAAAACAGTGAAAAGTGAGTACTACAAACAGCTCTACAACAAAATTAGTCTTAGAGGTTTTCTAAAGATACAGGCTGTTCACCTTTGCCTTTACCCGGCTGGAAATTTAAGCTCTTAAGTCTTTTTCCAAACTTTACACAGAAGTTTAAAAATAGTGTATTTGTGGACCAAGCCATTCATTTAAATAAAAAAAAAAAAATCAGGTAAGTCTCAACCATAAGTACCAGAAAGAAAGAATTTTTTTGCTAAGGATGCTGAGAGTAATTAAACTCTGTTTATTAATGTTGAACAGAATAGCAGTTACTGCTCTTGACTTTTCTCTGCTTCATACCACCTCACAGTAAGCCATTTCAACATTAAACCCAGGGAAAAGTCAGAATTGGTTTTCAGATAGACTAGTGGTTTAAGTGGCATATGATTGGTACAGACAAGCGTGAAGGCCTGACACAAGAAAAGAACTGAAAAACAAACAGAGAAAACTGAAAGAAGGAACAGCTCCATAGGTTAAGAGCAAGTCATTATATCAGTTTTACCATTGTTTGGCTAGATTGCGATAAGGAATATTTTAGACTTATTCCTGTGTAGACATGAAGGCTTCTCCTTCTCAGGCACATTTCTGACTCTCATAATGGTTGTGGATTGAAGCAGTCCTGAACTTCTGATTGGACTCCATTTCAACTAATTACATACTTTTCATATCAAGTTTAATTAACACCGAAGTCAACAGCAGTGAGGATATTTCTTTGGCACTGACCACAACACAAACAATGTTACGAAGTAGGCAAGGATAGGATTTTTTTTTTTTTTATTTGCTTGTGTACTAGATATATAATATAGCATAAGCACTTGATGACATTCTCAAAACTTCTAGGTAAGATAAGCTAGTTTGTTCTATTGCCCATGCCTAAACTGTTATTGATATGCCTACGGCAACTTCAATTGTTTTAAGATAGCAACTGGGCATTCCAGGCAGCCAATTCACCATGTTGTAACAAAAGCACTGAGTGCTCCCATAGTGACGTAAGAGGAAGGTTGAGCCTGCTCTACTTCAGCTAATCTAAAACATTTTCTACTGTTGATAAGTGGAAAGTCTGTCTTTCCTTGAGTATAGATTGCATATTTTACCAAAATGTACATGCTGAACAGTTACCCAAATCACTAACACTGCTTAAGGGCCAAAGACTTAATGAATATGTGGAAAAGAGTTTCTTGACTTAATGAACATGAATTATTTGTGAACAGCCAGAACAACATTTAAAGACTGCTTGGCAGAGAATGGAGGCCATTTTGCTATTCCTATCCAAACAAAATTCTGTCTTCCTGAAGACGTATCAAAAAATGATCTAAGAAAGCCAATCATGTCATTACAGACTGATCTCTGATCAACAAATCATATACATGTATACAAATAATTCTAAGCAAGACCTACCCAGTTTTGTTTTGTTTTGTTTTTTTTTCTGAGCAGCTTACATGTAGGCTTTCACCTCAGGAAAACAATGATAATTCAGATAATCTCAATATAGACAACAGTATACAGAGCTGTTTAAAGTCCATCTTTGTCTGAGATAATACAAGAGCTAATGGTTTCAGCTCAAAGTACTTCACAAGAAGCAACAGCATATACCTGCTATTTTCAGCTCTCTAATCTATTTTGGTATCTTATCTTTGCCAGCAGTGATTGCTGTTAGATCTGCAAGGCCTTCAATTCCAAACGAGGTAAAATGACTTGCGCTGTGCTTGAAGACATGAATATCTTTCTCTGGGGAAAACACACGATGCGGGATAACCTGATTCCAACTTTTTCCAAAACTTGAACGACAGTTCAGTCATGCTTAACTGCTTCACAAGCTTTGTCCCAGTTTACATTAAGCACTATGCAGATTTCTCTTATTTGGTATGCAATCATTATGACTCAACATCTGTAAAGAACCAAACAGTTATTCTGCCTGAATAGATACAACTGCTCTAAACTTGCTGTAAGATCACTATGTTTTATATTCTGAACAGAAGATTAAAACACTAGAAGAAGCTAGGATTGATTTCTTGATAAACATTTTTAACAGTACTGTAGCCTATTCTTGTTAGGAATTTCATTATTGATATCCACTTTACCCAAAGTAAGGACCAACATTTTGTTTTGAATTTCTGAAACTGATGCTGTAAAATCTGAAAATCAGCTAATGTGTTTCTTCTGACAGCAGAAGGCATAAAAATCAAGTTTAATGTCAATATTTACTGTGCATTTCTTAAAAGAGTGAATTCCTGAAACTGAAAGCATTAACCATGTAACTGATAAGTTATGTTAAAAAATTTCCTAATAAGAAAGAATTCAGAAGATGTAGCATTTGGGCAGCAATCAGCAATAACTGAATTACATTTGAGATTTCAGTGCTGGGTTCAGACAAGCTACATGCTTATCTTTATTTAAATTCACCTGTCCTACAGGGCTAGTCACTACCAGCTTTTACTGAACAGGACAAAAAATGCCAGAATAACTAGGTATTGCCAGTATATTATGAATTTGTACCAACAGATTTCTGAAGGTTTTGATTCAATGTTATCAACTACTTATCCAGTAGCTAAAGTAAAATTGATGAAGAGACACTTGTTCAATCATGTCTGATCTTCATTACTTCTGCTAAAAAAAGAAAAGACATATTTTACTTCTCAGTTCCCCTACCTCTGAAGCATGGAAATTCTTTATAGATTCCATATTAAAATTTGTATGCAAATCAATCACCTTCTTTGATTGAAATCTGCAGATTAAGCCTTTTTGTTCCAAGTACATAATCAGAAAAATTAAGCACACTTTATTAAGTCACACAGACATTACTTCACGTAAAGAAATAGTTCAAACTAAGCGTAGGGATTACCTGCCCCAGACATCTTTCAGTTCTGGGAATGATAAAATTTGTTTTGACCCTTCTTTAGAAAACTCTTAATAGCAACAAAAGGATTCAACTATCAAGCTGTAGTAGTGAATACAAAGCCATTCTTTCTTAAGCCTTTTTTCAGGGAATTATATTACATTATGGCTTTGTTTTTGAGGTAAAAGTTTACATAATCCATAGCACATTTTCAGAATCATATATTCTCTTTTTAGATACAACCGTGACATACTACAGTTTGGTTACTGTAAGCATTAACTGGCATCTAACTAGCTGGACAGGAAAATATCTGCATTGCCATTACGCTGAATACTATTGCACTTTGCCAATAATAAACATTGTATTTATGTATTTGCAGCCAAAAGAATCTGAAGGCTCATCTTTCTGTTCTTTTGAAGCAGTTAAGCGTTAACATACTAGGTAGAATACCATTGTACAGGACTCAATGAAAAGGTAACTGGAATAACAGAAGTACAAGAAATATCCACAGGCCAAGTTAGAATGTTTTTATCTGGTATTTTAAACTTGAGCTATACTTCAAAGTCAGACGAATTTCATTTCAGCAATAAGCACTTATCTGCTGAGCTGCTTCACCAGAAATAAAGTATTTACCATATACAATACATGTCTCCATTTTGGAGCTGTGGGACTAGGAACGATTCACATAGTTGTAAGGCTAAGGTAGTCTTCCCTTCTTTTTCAGTGTTGCAGATGATCTCAATTCCACTCTTGCAATCAGTCCTCAACAAGTGCTATATAATTAAAATAGAATCAATTTAGATAAATTTGCTAACGCAAAATAAAAGCCTATCAGACCTTGCTATATTAAAGAAGCCACTAAAAGCTGCAGTAACTATTATTATTTTTTTTTTTAATAGCTTTTCTTTAAGCTTGTGAATAGAGACTTTGGAGAAATTTAGAGCTGTTTCATATTTCTCAGAGTAATGCAAGTCAGAATTGATCAGAGAAATTAAAAACTACACAAAAGCTTTTTTTGCATGATGGTAGGTTGGTTTTTTTCCCTTAAAAAAAAAAAAGTTAAGATAAACATTGTTTTCTAGAAAATGCTCTCAGTGATATGAGTACAACCACATTTGTCGTTTTACATAGTGGGGCAACATAAAAGAAACTTTAAGGCTAACAAAGCTGTACAGTGCACAAAACATCAGATCGATACCAAGTGTGCTGAAGTGGTTTTGATGGAATAATAGTCAACCATAAAATAACAGTTAACACACTAAAGTTAAATAATGTTAGTGACTTAAGATAAACAGGGAATATATGTATGTAAGTAAACTTGACTAAAAAAAAAAGTATTTAGGTCAACAGGATTTCTAGGCACTTATATTTATCTTCTGGAAGCTTAAACCAGCTCTAAGTTAAGCAACACCAGTGTAATTGCTGATTTTATAACATTTCTTTCTACAAAAATAAAGAGTTCCATGTGCTCCTTTTGACACCGTGCATAACAACTATCACTTCATTAAAAAAAATACTGACAAACAATACCTCCTGGAATAGCTGATCTTCTAATGGTGACATATAAAGACAGGTGAAAAGCGCTTGATGGAAATACAGATCTTTACTGATATCTGGATGATTTATGCAAGATTTGATAAGAGCCATTGCCTCAGGGATGCGTTCACAGGCAATAAGGTATCTGGCACGCAGTTCAAAGAACAGTGGATTTTCAGAGCTTAAATATTTGTTAACTGTACAGAAAAGAAAGATTAAAGGTCATTAGAACATAAAGTCCAAACACCAAATATACTTAAATTCATTTCTCTTTTTAACAGTGCAATGTCAATAAATAATATAAAGAAAAAACTCTGTTAAAGAAGATACCAAATATTTAAGTAAATGCCATCATAAAGAATCTACCTTTTACTTGGAAGCAGAAACCATTATTTTTATTACAATTGTTTTTGTTTTGACTATAACAGATCATCTCAAATTGCTAACACTGATTAGTAGAACACATACAATTCAGCAGCAGATACAAACATTTTCAAGAAAAAAAAAATCTTTCCTTTCTCAGCACTGGAATTGGCTTGTTGTCTGAAATATGGGATCTACATCACTTTCAACATTAACTATAAATATTTAAGACAACTTGGGATACTCATTACCCATTAAAATGTAGGAGCTTAGAGTATGGAAAAAATTAACTACAATCCACACGCTTTAAACCTTTGGTTTCGCTTAGAGAAGTAGAATATAAACCCTTCCTTTCTCTAAATATCCTGCTTTTTAAAAAAATAAAATTAAATTTGAAATACACGTATTATGTTTTAATTAACACTTAAATGCTGATACTTTTAAACAGCCTTGATCTCTAGAAATTGCTTCTTCATACTTAGAAGCTTACACTGAAGCTAGAATATCAACAGAGTCAACTGAAACAAACAAACATTTAATTAAACTGAAAAGTAAAGAAATTAATAGAATCATAGAATCACAAGGTTGGGAACGACCTACAAGATCATCTAGTCCTCATCACCGTTGCCACCACAAGCACTAAACCACATCACGCAGCACGTCATCCAGACGCCTCTTGAACACTGCCAGGGACAGCGACTCCAACACCTCCCTGGGCAGCCATTCCAGTGCCTGACCATCTCTGGGAGAAAAAGGTCTTCCTTACTGTCTAATAAAACAATGGCTTTTAGTTTCCTATTTTAAAAGATCATACAGATTCTAGCATTAAAAGTTAAAATGCCACTCAAGCATAGAGAAGTTATAATGTTTTTATTCTGAGAATTGTTTGCATCTTCCCAAGCAAAGGCACTCTGAGATGTCAACTGTGTGCTGTTCTTAATATCTTGGAAATTATGGCCTAATCTTGCATTCTCAGCAGCCCACTTATCAAAGAGAAAGAGTCAGAAAAGTCAATTTTTAGTGCATAGCCTGTACTATCACAGTATTTCATAACTATATATAAAAAAAAGTAACTTAAGGCTAAAAGTACAAATCGGAAGTTTATACCTTAAAAAGAACCTGCATGAGGAAAGTTATAAGCAAACTAAATGGACAAAGGGACAAGAGATTTAAAAAAAATATATAAATGATTACTGAAAACCACTATCTAAACAGCCAAGAGAAGATATTTCCCAAAATAAAATATTACCAGTGCAACAAGCTTTAATTTACACTGAATTATTTTTTAAAGGATCCTTGGTTTGAAAAACACACTTTTATGCTCAGAAGCAGGATTTCTCTGCCATTTGTATTTTATCAAAGTTAATGCCACTACATGCAAGTGAGCATTTAAGGTATGCAATCCAACATGATGCAAGGTTTTAGATCAGATTTCTTAATAGATATTCTCTAAGCTCTACCATAATAGACCTTATTCCCACTACCCATTAGCACTTTGGGGTACAAACATTATAAAGATGAAGGTGGAAAGAAAAGCCACTGTCTAACAGTGGTTATATAACTGCAGGGAACAGCGATCATCCCTGTTCTGCAGGGAACAGAATAATCCTTAAGGCCATGTAAAGGCATCTCTTTTTTGGACTTCATATACTTCAGATAACAAATCTAATTATCAGTTTCATATACAAACATTATCCCACAGATTATTGAATACTGACATCAAAATATCTTAATCCAGAAATGTTTAGGTCATATTATTTGGTAATTTTAAGAAAATGTTGTATGCATAACTGGCTCTAACATCCTTTTCCTTCAAATAAGTAAAGACAGCAGACTACAAAACTGCTTATTATATCACTCTCACTTTCTATGAGATAAATCCTTAGCTCAGTATGCTACTCCACTTTGTAAGTGAGAATTCCACTTCTGACATGAATTCCCAGTGAATAAGGTCTCCTGTACACTAACACTGCTTTTAAACAGACTGAGCTCCACTAAACAACTGACAGGGCTCTGCTCCCTCCCTGTTATGGAATGCCCTCCTTCTCCAAGAGGACATTTACAATGCCTCTAACTCTCCAAAGCAGAAAACAACTGTTAACTATATTAGCATTTAGGCATGCCTGCAGTACATTAAAAACAGCTTGAAGACAATATCATCTATTCTTGTCCAGGCAGCATGTGCAGCACTTTGCTTTAGAGCAACAGATGCCAGCCGTCAGCTTAGAAAATAATTAACTGCTTTCATCTGAACGTTCCTCTGCCTACAGTATTCTCTTTCAGAAGTTCACATTAGGTTCTCTTATTCTCTCATCCATCAGAAGTTTATTGCTCCCAAGGTTCAAGAAAATTACAACTCAAATCAAACCCTGCTGCTTTTATTTAAAGCAAAAGATTGCTTTCCTTTGCAGCCATTTCAGTATGTAGTACAACACCTTCAACACCTCCAAGTACACTACAGTGCATGTAAGGGCAGGCACAGAAAGGTTTGTCTCGACCTAACCTTGTGTGTGCAACTAACGAGGCCAGGACAAGATTATGTAGTTTACACAGTACGTGTTTATTCGTCCATCTGACTTTCACAAGTGATGGTTGATGATTCAGCCTTTTCATCTCCTAGCAGCTTTCTTCATTTAAAACAGTGATCCCCAAGGGAATTATATGGCCAAATATGAAAATATACATCAAACATCGCCAGCCTACAAAGCAGCAAAGAGTACTTGCTTTGTGTAAGTATTCAAGAGAATCAGATTTTAGAGAAAGTGAGACCAAAAAAAAAAAAAGGCTTTTGAAAGATAATATCTAAAATAAAGTGTTTGTGATAACAGATGAGAAGAAGATATCAGAAGATACAAGGAGAAAGAATACCTAAGCATAGGGTAAGGAGATGTAGCCTGCAACAAAAGGAAATAAAATGATCATCTAATGATGATAGGCAGTCTCATTCTTATTCTGCCAGGCAAAGCTAAGGAAAAATCCTTGAACTGTTACTCATCATACATAGGTGCCATACTGATCGAGGAAATCGGTAAGAAAAAGGATTAAAATAATTCTTTGCTAGAATATTTGAATATTGAACAAAATATTTCAAATTGCTATCAAGTCTTACATGCTTTCATTCTTCCCTGAGATGTTCTATGTATGTATGTTAATCTTTTAGGATTACAAACTTTTCTTCCATTTGACACCTACCTTCAGATTTTAACCACCAAAGCTTCTAATCAGTCATTAGACACAGAATAAAATAAGTGCTTATTTTACAAGAGACAGAACAACAATCAAGTTTATCAGATTAATTTGCCATCAAATCACTTTCTGTAGTTAAGACTACAGCTCAAACTGTCCTGACTTTACAGTTCTCTTCTTACCTCTATGGAACATACACGTTTTTTATAAACAAGGCAATTCATTTGAATCATTCATTGCACCACAGTAACAAGAGAAGAACTGCATCTTCCATCGCTATCAAATGAAAACAACTTTCAAGAGCTCCTCCTGTTAGCAAAAACATTATCTAAGAGGCTAGTAAAGGCTTTCACTGTAGACAGAATATAAGCCATTTTTACCTTTATGGCTACAAAAAAAAAAAAAACAATTCTTTTTTCTAAACCCAACACTGTTGCATATGCTACCACAAACAGAAAACAGCTACAAGATGTAGTCACAAGTTCCACTCCTAATAGTGCCAATAAAACCTCCAAGTATTTACAACTTCAAAGAAAAATTAAATGAGTTAGGGTACCATGAAACAAAATTACACATCAGGACCTCCCCTGATCATGACGCTTCAGAAGCCTAAATGAAGTCAAGTTTGTCTTAACACGCTTTCAAGGTTAGAACACAACTGGACTTTGTAAATACATTTTATAAGGGACTGCTCACTAATCTCCTGTATCTGATGAATTTGATCTCTACACTATTAAACTAGATTGAAACTATTATCACAGAAATTTAGTTTCCTTTCAAAAAATAAAAAGACTGATAGATTTTACTACCGAAAAAAAATTGTGCGCAATACCAGCAGGCAACATCTAACCTAATACCAAACAGGCATAACTTAACAACTTTTTCTTAGTGCTAGAAAATATGTGGTAAATTGAGTACCTAACTCCTGTGATACAGGCTTTGCTTTAAGAATGGCTTGTAATATCGGGTCCTCCCAAGGTCCACCATCTCGAATTATTCGAGTCACTAATTCCAGGTTTATATTTCTGTATTTATTTAGAAGGTTCTGACATTCCTACAAGTAAAAAGAAAACACAGTTGTAAAAATGAAAAGCACTGTCTAAAAATACAGTTAGGCCACCTAAAAAGATACAAAGCTAGAAAACCCAACCACGTTCCAATACTTCCTCGGACAAAGTCCACAAAGTCTTATAATGATGAGGTCTACACAAAGACCGAAAGCAACAACTTACATTCTGTAAGACTGTGGAAGCCAGAATATTTTCTGATGTCACTAAGCAAGAGTCTCCCATTTGTATAAAAATGAAAACTGCTTTTGTTGAATTAAGAGATATCAGCATGCTGTGGGAAAAGTCTTCACCTGATGCTAGTCTGCACAGATTTAGACACACTGACACTGCACCTGTGACACAGGGACGGAGCATAAACTCTAAGGCTTTAAGAGAAAAATTGAATTAAGATATATGAAACATCAGTCCTCAGGCACCCATTTTTATCCAGATTTCTGTTAAAAAAAAAAATCATGCTTGCCAAAAATAACATGGTCTGGTTTAACAATCCTTGATTTTCATATATAACAAGTTTTCCTCCTATTGTTACTTACTGGTAAAAGTGTCAACATAATTAGAATTCTACTGTTCATTAACAATAACACGAAAAAAGTATGTAATTTTGAAATCAAAGCAAAAAGGTGTCTTTTTTTGTCAAAGAGCTAAGAAGACTATAATTATGCAACTGAAGAATAGCTTCTATAAACTATACAATTATCTTCTCCACATTCTTTTTCCTGTAAATTCTTTTAGTTTCAGCTCCTCACTGCTTTTTTTAATATTCAGATGAATATGTATGACTGCATAAGAATGGTTAAGTAATCAAAACAGTGGCTTTCACGACTCGTTTGATTATACAAAGGCTGCTCCAAAAGTAATGTCTCTTTCTTTATTACATTGGCCCACAACGTCAGTGGTGGATATTGGTGGTATGGCAATGGAGGTTGAACCCTCCCAACAATATTCCTTTACACTTTGTTGCTGTGCGACAGATGGCAGCAAAGGACCAGTCCAACAAACTGCACAGTGGATGAAGCAAAGGTGTGTCACTGAATTCCTCCATGCAGGAAAAAAATGGCACCCACTAACATCCATTGACACTTGTTGAACATTCATGGAGACGGAACACTGGATGTCATCACGGTGAAGTGATGGATGGTGCATTTCAGCAGTGGCGATAGCAACGAGAAAGACAAGTCACATTCCAGATAATCACACAGATATTTTTTTTTTTATTTAAAACAGAAGTGCAGCATGCAGGCTCCTGTTCACCCGTGACAAAAATGCATAGCTAAGGGTGGCGCCAAATTTAGAAGATAGCATTTTGTAGCTGCGACTTTGCTCTGTCAACTAGTGCTATTGTGCTCTTTGCAGCTGTTACAGTTTCCACGGAAATAAATAGGAGGCATTACTTTCAGAGCAACCTATATACAACAGATTCAAAAATTCTTCAAGTAAAGATCTATTTAAATACATTCATTGCTTAAAATTCAAATTAAATCAGGAAAAAGTCCAACAAATAAATTTCTATATATCACACTGCTAAATTCTTTCTTGTTCATAGACTGTTTTTGAAAAGCCCTTATGACTGCACTACCAAAATGCATTATTACTCTCATGCAAGAAGCCCTGTCCTCTCATGGGGCTGCTAAGCCACTTCTTGACCCCATTCTTCCTCTAATTCTAATCAAGGATAATTTATAATTGCTGCTGTTTTGATAACTTAGCTAAGTAGAGCTGGCATTAATTTGTAGCAGCAATGAAAAGAGGTATTAGCATAAAAATTACAGGAGGATAGTTATTTCTCAAACTACAATTTCCTGATCAGTGTTAACAAAAGAAGCAACCCTGTCTTCCACCCTTTCAATCCACATCATTAAATTTATTTTCTCATGATTAGCACAAGTGCTTTCTTTCCCATGCACTGAAGTCAACTCTCAAAGCCCATACAGGGCCCAGAGAAAAACACCTTATTGGGCAGGAAAAAAAAGGTGGGGGAGGAGAGGGGAAGTGGGAATTGGGAGGATTAAATTTTAAATCCAGGAACATTTCTCTTAAACAGCTGTAAGTAGCCATACAAAAAAATTGCCCCAGCATAGTTGAGAATATAGCCATTTTATACAGTGCCACACACTCTAACCTGAGAAGTTCACTGAAATACAGCTTCAATTTCAAACTTGCTGTTTAAAACTGCTGAGGGAACCTTGCTGTTTCGTGTCACGGACTGGCATGAAACACTGGATGACATTAAGGTGTACTTTGACACAAACAAGTTCCCTTCAATGCAAGAAAAGCATAGAACCTGTCTTCAAACAAAAGACAGGCATTAAAAAGAAAGACATTTACCTAGTCCAGAAAGGTTCAAATAGCAATATGATAACAAATTAAGAATAAGTGACTTTTCCTTCAAATATCTTTTTAATTAATTTGTTTTCAAAAGTCTTTTTTTTTTTTTTTTTTTTTTTTTTTTCTCTCTTCTTTTTTCCCCTCTTCAAACTATGGCATTTTTCCTTCAGGTCATATATTCATAAAAAACCCACCCAACCAAAAAACTGTCTTAACAGGTACTAAAATGGTATTAAAAGTTTATGTAAAGTAGGCAACACTACCTGGATTGAACCTAAAATATCTTTCAAAGGATCTTCATAGAACTCATCTTTTCCAAAGAACAGCAGCAATTCAAAAAAACTCCTAAAAAACAGAAGTAGCAACAAGTCAAGCAAACTAAAAACGTTCATTCAAGAAACTAGTATAAGTTTACTATTTTCCATAGCACTACAACAAAACAGAATTTTGCTAAGTTTAGGGTTCTTGTCAGCACTAAAGAGTCACTGTAAAAACGTTTGGCTAATGCCTACACTTTCTAGTCACTATCTATGTTTCAATAACTCCACAATGTCTAATACCCTGCACTTGATTTTAGCAGTTAAGATTCCACATCCCAAACACATTCTGCATCAAGCATCAGGTCACAAATATAACACATTAACAGCTAAAGATAAGCTATTTTACAAACACAAATCAACAGTAGAACAGAAAAACACTTAAAAAGTTAGTCTTTCTTCACTACTGCATTCAGTCTTTGGTTGCAATATCTCTTTAAACAAAAAGGAAGATATTCACAAACCGTTGGACAAGGAACTCTTTTGCATGACTATTAAATTCACTGCAATTATTCCTAAATTTTAGTGACTCTTACTACTTCAATACATTTGAAAGTGTACCCTCAACACTTTTCATTTTTAATATGGCAGATCCAAAAGAAGTTAAAGAACAGATTTAAAGCAAAGTTTCCCTTCATATTCAGAAATGCTGTGGATCAAAGAATCTTAATATTAACACAAAAAGAGCTTTCTAAAAATTTCAAAAGACTCCAAAGGGAATTTTTATGAGAATAATGGAAAAGTGTCACAAAATTAGGCAGCCTTTAGATTATACTGCAGCAAAGTCTATCACTGGCTAGGAAAAAAGATGTCAAAAACAGGCCTAGAAAATATGAAAAACAAATTCATTAAGTGCAGAGATGGGACATATCTCCAAAGCCTTTGAATCTCAGCTGAGATATGGAATGGGAAAAAGAAAAAAAAAAAAGAAAAAAAAAATTCAATACCCAAATAAGTACTTTATTTAGAAACACAGTATCTCATTTCACATTGATAACATTTTTGCTGCATACTGACTCTTAGGAAAGGTCAAACTTGAGTCATGTCATGATCAGGACAGTAGACCAACTGGAACTTAAACAATATTTGGTTATGACAAAACTACTTACAGCAAATGACATAGGCATCAGATTTAATTTGTTTTAATTATTTTAACTGTTTTAAAGAGAATAAGCCTTGATAAAAAAAAAAAACACCATAGGAAACTAATACTGAAAAAGTGCAATCTACAGTTTTATTCCGTATCAACGCATCTGCATCACAGTCATAGAATCATATAATGGCTTGAATCGAAAGAGACCTCAAAGATAATTAGTTCCAACCTCCACCCTATAGGCAGGGCTGCCCACCATGAGCTCAGTCTGCCCAGGGCCACATCCAACCTGAACCTGAATGCCTTCAGGGATGAGGCACCACAGCTCCTCTGGGCACAGCTCACCAAGCTCACAGAAAAGCATTTCATCCTAATCTTGATCTAAACCTACCCTCTTTTACCTCAAAATTATTAGCCCTTTTCCAAACAAGACACTCCTTGATGAAGAGGCCCTCCATGTCTTTCCCATAGGTCCTGGAAGGCCACTATGATGTCTGCTTGGAGATGTGTATTCTCCTCCTCTTCACAGGAGAGGTGCTCCAGGCTTCAGATCATCTTTATGGCCTCCTCTGAACCTAAACTAGCAGGTCTAAATTGTTCCTGACCAGCTTCAATCAAGCATGTCTGGGGAGGATCGCTGCAAGTCTTCTACATGTGGATTGCAGACTAACTGCCTACCTAAATACAAGGAGATGCTGGCAAGGTCTTCTTTTCTCTGCTGCCTCTGGTACTTCAGCAGCATGGTGAGGATGGGAGAGTGATGGGGTAGTTAACAAGCAATTCCCAGTGAGTGACTGTGGCTTTTGAGAGAAGATGCTGTCCTCTCACAAGCTAGCCCCTGAACTAGCTTGGGATCTGGTGATTGCTGTTGGTGCAGCAAAGGCAACCAGTAGGGCCGCGTAAGTTTCCCTAAGCTATGGGCACAATTTTCAGACACTGCCACATCCAACTTTATCCTCTGCACAACTCTCTGTTGGATAAAAGCAACCCAACTGCTGATCGGGAGTACAGGTGATGCTTTTCTCTATCCCTTCAGTGGCAGGGAGGATTACTGAGAGGACTAGGAAAACCCACCAGAAAAATACATGGCTGAGAGGCTGATGTCACAGTAGGAATTTTGATTTTTCAACCATTGATTTACTTGGCACCCAGCCCAATGGCTGCTAGTGGTGTTCATCTAGATCACAGGGGGAAAAGAACCCTATCCCAGGAGCTGTCGGGACTCGCTGACAAGGGCTTTAAACTAGGTTTGAAGGGGAAAGGGACTGATAGCAAGCTTGCCCACAACAAGGTGCAGATTACCATAGCTAAGTTAGAGGGACAAGGTGTTAGCAGGAGCCCTCAACCCACTGCATTTTACAATGCATGTACTAGGCAGCAAGCTAGTGGGGTTCATCACCAGGGCTTTAAACTAGATGTAGTGGGGGGGGAAGGGAATGTACTGCTGAGGAACAGAGAAGAATCAGGGAAGAAAACTGTTGGTTTAGGAAACAGCGAGGGAAAACCTCAGATTTTTCCCAGAGGTTTTTGGCAGGGCTGTTCTAAGAAGATAATAAGGCCGAAAACCCAGCTGAAGTGCCTCTGCACCAAAGCAAGAGGAAAGGGAAACCATGTTGCAATTGAAAAACTATGATCTTATTGCTATTATCATAAAAATACAGCAGGATGACTCATAACAGGAATACTATGATTGAGGGCTGTGAGATTTTTAGAATGGAAAGGTGAGATAGAAGAGGTGGGGGAGTTGCCCTCTATGTTAAGAAGTGGATAGACTATGAAGAGCTGCCCCTGAGAAAAAGTCATCAACAGGTTGAGAACTTGGGGGTTAAACTTAGGGACTGGACCAATAAAGGGCATCTGATGCTTGGAGTCTACTAAAGCAGCTTGACTGAGGGGAGCCTGTCGATGAGGCCTTTTTGCTTCAGCTGCAAGAGGTGTCACACTCACAGGCTCTCATCTTGGTGAGGGACTTCAACCACTCAAATATCTGCTGGGAAAAGAATGCCGTAAGCTGCAAGCAGTCCAGGAGACTCCTGAAGAACCAGAAAATTGTTAATGAGCAAGCATTAGATAAACCCACAAAAGGTGAAGCGCTGCTGGGCCTGGTGCTCACCAAAGCAGAAGAGATCATAAAAGATGTTATGACTGGAGGCAGCCTGGGCTGCAGCAACCATGTCCTGGTTGAGTTTGTGATCTTGAGGAACATGGGCCTGACAAAGAGTGGAGTCAGGATCCTAAACTTCAGGAGAGCACACTTCAGACTCTTTAAGGAACTGCTAGATGAGATACCCTGAGAAACCATCCTAAGGGACAGAGGAACAGAAGTGCTAGCAGCACTTTAAAGATACCTTTCTGACTGCAGAAGAGCTCTCCATCCACCAGAATAAGAAGTCAGGCAGACAAGGAAGGAAACCAGCATGGTTAAGCAAGGACCTGTTAGTCACACTGAGATGCAAAAAAAAAAAAAAAAAAAAGTGTAAGTGGGAGCAGGGATGGAATCCGGAATGGGGAAAGCCAAGGCGCAGATGGAACTGAATTTGGCAAGGGATGTGACAAAGAGGGATTCTTCAGATACATTGTGCAGAAGGGACAGGCAAAGGAGAGCATGTACCCTTCTGATAAACAAAAAGGGAGAGCTAGCCTCCTCAAACACGGAGAAGAATAAAAAAAAACATAAGTTCCTTACCTCAGCCTTCACAGCCAGTCAGGCTTCTTATGCCTCACATGCCCCTGAGCTTCTAAGCAGGGACTGGGGAAGCAAAATCCATCCTGGACTTATTCCATTCTTAGACCAAGATCACCTCATGAAGCTAAACGTGTAGAAGTCTGTAGGACCAGATGACACTCATCCCAAGGTTCTGAAGGAACTGGCTGATGTAGTTGTCAAGCGGCTCTATCATATTTGAAAAATCATGACTGCCAGGCAAAGTCCCCGGTGTCTGGAAAAAGGGAAACATCAAGAAAGGAAGATCTGGAGAACTACATGCCAGCAAGCCTTACATCTGTGCCTGGGAAGATCATAGAGCAGATCCTACTGGAAAGGATGTTAAAGCGTATTTGAGACGTGGAGGTGATATGTGCCAGCCAGCACAGCTTCATCAAGGGCAGACTATGCCTGACCAATCTGGTCGCCTTCTATGATGGAGTGACAGCACTGGTGAACAAAAGACGGGCAACTGATGTTATCTACCTGGACATGTGCAAGCCTTTGACATGGTCCTGCACCACATCCTTATCTCAAAATTGGAGATATAGATTAGAAGGCTGGAATTCTAGGCATAGACAATTGGTTGGATAGTCCTAGCCAGAGGGTTGTTGTCAACAGCTCTACGTCCAGGTGGTAGCTGATGACAAGTAGAATCCCCCAGGGGTTTGTTTTGGGAAAAGTACTCTTCAATAACTTAATCCCACTGTCTTTCTCACTGATAAAGCGTAACGTCAGCAAGCTTGCTGATGACACCAAGCTGAGTCATGCAGTTGACACAACAGAAGGGAGGGATATCATCCAGAGGGATTTGGACATGCTCAAAAAGTGGGCAAATGAAAATCTAATGAGGTTTAACAAGTCCAAGTGCAAGCTGTCCCACACTGGTCAAAGCAATCCTAGATAAAATAAGAGACTGAAAGAAGAACTCACTGACAGCAGCCTTGTAGAGAAAGACTTGGGGATCCTGATGAATGAAAAGCTGGACAATGAGCCAGCAGTGCATGAGCAAGTGTGCTCTTGCAGCCCAGAAGGCCATAAGTATCCTGGGCTGCATCAAAAGAGGAGTGGCCAGCAGGGAGAGAGCGGTGATTTTCCCCCCTTATCTGCCCCTCTGAGGCCCAACCTGGAGCACCGCATCCTAGGGCTCCAGAACAAGAAGGATGTAGGCCTGCTGGAATTGGTCCACAGGAGGCCACAAAGATGATCAGAGGTCTGGAGCACCTCCCCTATGAAGAAAGGTTAAGGGAGTTGGGCTTGTTTAGCTTGGAGCAGACAAGGATCCAGGGAGACTTCATTGTGGCCTTCCAGTACTTGAAGGCAGCTTACAAGCAAGAAGGGGATCGACTTTTTATACAGTCTTATAGTGGATAGGACAAGGTGGAATGACTTTAAACTAAAAAAAAAAGAAATTTTTTACTCAGTAGTAAGGCACTGGAACATGTTGGTCAGAGAGTTTGTGGATGCTCCATCTCTGGAGGCAGTTAACACCAGGTTGGTTGGAATACTGGGCAGTCTGATCTTGTAGCTGGCAAGCATGTTCACAGCAGGGGGATTGGAACTAGACAATCTTTAAAGTCCCCTCCATCTTAAGCAATTCTACAATTTGTAAAAGGAACAAGGCTAGCGTTAGGACCAGAATCTTATCAGAAGTTCATATATGCCTGACCAAGGAAAGAAATGAACAAACGCTGCAACATTCACCTCTCTAGATACTTACATAAGCAGCAGATGGATACTACTACTTATGTAATTATGCCTTTTTTCAGCTCTCTTAAGTCTCTTTGGAGTAGTGAAGCCACACAGCACACACAGTATCCCTTCAGAGAAGAGATCCATAGCTCCACATCACAGTGGGAAAACTCTCTCCTCATACATGGTTCCTGCTTGCCAATCTGATTTGGTGCTCCCCCTCCACTTGTCACTTCTTTACAACTTCAAGTGCCCCAGTTTAATTCTTGATCCTTACGTGGAATTTATTCCACCCCTTAGCAGTTGCTGTCTTGCTTCGGAGCTTTTCTGGTCCTTCCTTCTGCACCACCTTTTGAGATGGGAACGGGCAGGTATGCCAAAACAGCACAGAACGTTAAAGATGTTGTGATGTACTGTGATTCTGAGCAGTTAGCTCTCTGCTTTGTTCCATCTTACTAGCCTCCTAACACTTTGCATCGTTGAGCACTGTGATGCACACTGAAGTGACATTTTCATTAAAACATTCAGCATAACACAGCTCCATGGCTGTACCTGTCAGTTTGAAGCCCACCACACTGAACATTTTCATTGTTTTGTTGTGTGGTTTTTGGTTTGTTTGTTTTTTGTTGTTTTTTTTTTTTTTTTGCTTCTCTTCATTTTCCCCAAGTACCACCGCACCCTTGTCTAAGCTGAATTTCATCATTCCCTATCATAAATCCTTTATACAGTTATTTACATTTTGTCCTTTATGATACTGGGGAAAAGGTAGTACCATAATCAAATGTGGCTGTCTCGCTGATTGAAATAGCTTACAATCATATCAGTAGCAAGACTGTTGGACACTTGGTTGAAAAGAGTCCTCCAAACCTAACCTAAAGCTAGTCCACATTCCTCTGCTTCTATTGAAGCTCTGCTGATACGATGGAATAAAAAACAAGAGACCAGTAAATGAGCAAAGGGAGCCTGGCTGTAATGCAGCAAGATAAGCAGTGTGGCAGAGCATAGAGCAAGGGTGCTTTTTCTGTGTCTTCTCTCTGTCTCTTTACAAACCACACATAAGGTCAATATTCTGAAGTTGAAAGAAACATAAGTAAATCCAGCTCCAAAAATCAAGACAGATTATCAGGAATAGCCACCATCCAAATACAACAAGTATCTGAGTTTCTCATTCCCAATTCCCTCCAAACTCACTCTGCTATCTGAAAGTATTTAGAAGCACAATTTGATCTTTGTGAAATGAGTTTTTCCTAAAAACTAATGAAAAAGAGAGGTCACCATCTTTTGATTCACCTGCTAAGTCATTTTCTGAGCATTCCAGTTTTAGAAATCATAATATTTTGATTCCATAAGTAATCTACCGTCAAATAGTTCCCCCAAGAAAACTCAGTCGCAAGTAAAGTTTCACAACACTTGAAGAGAGCAGATATTCTGACAAGCACAAAGAATAAAGCTTTAAGTTTTACTTTACTAATAGGTCAAGAACAGTAGACAGTTCCACCACACCAAGTAAACTGATAAAGGCTACAAAAACATTTGCCTCTGAAGACTAGACAAAGCACAAGCGAGACATTTCCAAATAAATTTTTGAACTGAGACACAGAGCTATATTTGAAAATGTTGCTCAACAAGAAAGCTGGACAGATAAATCTGATCCAAGCAAACTGAACCAGCAGACAGAGCTAACTCTCAGATTTTTATCTCCATCTGCTGATGAGAAAAATCAAGTATATAGAATCTCAGCTAAGTACAAGAAAGTCACTTAAGTATCAAGGTTTTTTTTTGTTGTAGTTTTTTTTTTTTTAATCTTCTGTCCAGCACTGCAGTTTCTGAGATCTGAAAAATTCAATTTTTTTTTCTTTCTTTCTGCTTATCATTACCCTCACACTTTCAGTCTTCACGTGGGAAAAATCAGCACTGCACACAGAAAACCACACAGCAAGATATTCTAGCACTCTGCAGTTCTCTGTCAAATTGAACATACACATAACAGGACAAAAATCACAGCAAATCATTCCTATAGGTATTTTCAGAACTTGAACATAAAAATCCATTTTAAAATTCATTACTTTCTTAAACAGTATAAGAAATTTGTCTTAAATACTTAGCTTATTACATCAACCTTAAAAGCACTGAGGATCTCTGAAACCCCACTGGCTATTATCAAAGTACAGAACTAACAGTCTACATTGTAAGGGAAATAGTAAGAAAAACATGATGTACTTACAAAGCTAGGCTACTCAATACGTATTGTACGTGCTCACATTCAGCTGGGAATGATACACAGGCAGATGTGAAACAACAGAGAGCTGTCTGAAGCACCTGAAGCTGAGGCAGAGGAACCTGCCATCTTCCAGCATAGTCTTCAACAACCTAATGACAAAAACATTGAAAGCCATATTACAAACCAAAAACATCCTCTTTAATCATGAACCTATACATAGTTTGTACTGTACCTGCTTCATCTCCCCTCCTTCCTTAGAAGTAGGGTTAATAACAAAAAAACAAAAAAAACTCAATCCACTAAAATAGAATCCTGAGCACCTTCGGTTATCAACTAAAGAAGTAGTAACTTCATTACTTACATTATAACACTGAGAATACTTAAGGGATCATTTACAGAGAGTAAGGCCAAGAAAAACATCCATCTTATATAGTAACATAGTAGTTACAGTATTGCTACTATGTTACCACCGTACTACATAGAAGGCGCATTGAAACATAAGCTTTTATTTTGCAAGTGAATACGAGTTATGGAATCTGTAGCAATGCAGACAGCCTACTCTAAACAGAGAGGAAAACGACCACCCTGTGTACTTCCAGCCTTCCCTTTAGCAGAAAAGGGCAGAGATACTCTCTCTTACATAACCAAATAAATAAATTTGGCCCTTTTTATGTGCATGACAGAGCTTGCAGCTAACTATACCCTCATCTACGGTTATGAAACTACACTATTTAGAATGGAAAAAGATGATGAAAATAGGTGCTTTAAGGAAGACATGTATCCAACCATTTGCTGGTCACGCAATTGACCTTACTTGTGTTATTAAATGCAGGAATCCCCTGTATTTCTGACATTACCCACATCAGGTGGCTTAACAAAGACAACACCACTTGAAATTTCTACAGCATTATCAACACATTAAATTCCACCCAATCTGCTTTCATACAGTCTCTGTATAAAAGATAGCATTTAGTTCAGCACAGCATTAAAACACAGATTGGTAAAGGCTGAAGACCAGACACTGTGCTGCTGCCCTATAGAAAGCAGGAGCTAGAGGGCTTTGGGTCTTTTCTACTCCTTAAGCAATAGATAAGATATGCAACACTGAGCAGACAGATAAAGCATATTTCTTCCACGCTTTGGCACATTGCTCATCTCACTGCATTACAGCCAGGCTCCCTTTGCTCATCTACCACTCTCTCCTTTTTCCCATCACAACAGCACAGCTTCAGTAGAAGCAGAAGGATGTGGACTAGCTTTAGGTTAAGGTACAGCATACCCTTCTCTAACTGAGGGAACTTAACTGCAATCGCCTACATTTGCAGGAAGTGAGAAGCTGGTGGGGAACCACAGCGCTATCAGAGACAAAAGGCTGAAGCACTCCTTAGTACACACAAGAAACAAGCAACAGACTCCAAAAAAGCTGTGAAGTGCCAGCCCTCATTACACACCTGGGCAGCTTAACTCAAGAGCCAGTCTGGCTAATAAAGCACAGTTTAAAACAAAAAAATCAAATGTAACATTCTGCAGGTTTTCTTTTAGACTTGAAGTCTGTGACCCTCTCTCAGACCTGCCCACTGCCCATTCAGCTAAATAAAAGATTTCAAAGTCAAGATGATTAGCATGAGATTTTAGCACCAAAGCTACACACCTAATTTAATTTAAGGCTCTACAATATGAACAGGCCAGCAACCCATTTCTGACAGTCTGGTTATACCTGCTCCCAAAGTAGCTATTGACAATGGGAGCAACTTTATGTCTTCTTGTTATTTTAATTTTCATTAACAACAGTGGAGATTGATTTATATTTTTGAAATGATATTCTGCCTTTCTACCAAAACCATTTTAATAATTCCTACTTCAGAATCAGTTTAATGCAGCAAATATCTAGGTCAATTGGAAGAGAATTAACTGACTCGTGGATAAACACTCTCCCTGTTACAAGGAATAATAAGCACTTCAGAAAACTGAACTGACATCACCTATTGTGATCTCTCTGAAATACTTCTAAGCAGGTCCCCTGCATGAGAAATAACAAATCCTTATAAAAATCAAAGCAGACCAAGAAAACAGACTCTTCTGGTTTTAGCCTCTATGAAGTAAGAGAAAATAATAATAAAAGTTTCAATTCCCACCAGGGTGTTCTACAGCACTGTAACCTGACAGCCATAGTACTGATATGTTTGTAAATTATTTCAATCAGTGAGACAGCCACATTTGGTACTTCTTCCCCAGTACGGTAAAGGACAAACTGTAAATAACCATAGAAAGGATTTATGACAGGGAGTGATGAAATTCAGCTTAGACAAGGGAGCAGTGGTTCCTGGGTGTAGCAATTGGATCAGTACAATGGGAAAGATGTTACAACAGAGACATGATAACAGAAGGATCAGCATGATAGAAAGGTGCTTTAAGGGAAGGGAAGAAGATTGCTCACCTGTATCAGAAGATACTAGGTTTGCAGGGGAAAGCATCACCAAGGAGAGATCTCCAGAAAGACCCTTCCCTCTGGCAGCCAGCCCTTAAATGGGGTCTAAGAGAGGTGCAGCCAGGTTCCACACCTTCTGGTCACACAGCTGAATTGCCTTCACCTGTGCTCCCAGGGCTGACCCAGACCTCTCCCCAGATGATCAATCTGCAGTTCAGGCTGTGACTCAACAGTTCCCATACATTGGGGAAAAATGAAAACAAGCCAAAAAAAAAAAAATCAAAGCAGAGAGCTAACTGCTCAGAATCACAGTACATCACAACATCTTTAACGTTCCGTGCTGTTTTGGTGTACCTGCCCATTCCCATCTCAAAAGGTGGTGCAGAAGGAAGGACCAGAGAAGCTCCAAAGCAAGACAGCGAATACTAAGGAGTGGAATAAATTCCACGTAAGAATCAAGAATTAAACCAGGGCACTTGAAGTTGTAAAGAAGTGACAAGTGGAGGGGGAGCACCAAATCAGATTGGCAAGCAGGAACCGTGTACGAGGAGAGAGTTTTCCCACTGTGATGTGGAGCTATGGATCTCTTCTCTGAAGGGATACTGTGTGTGCTGTGTGGCTTCACTACTCCAAAGAGACTTAAGTGAGCTGAAAAAAGGCATCTATTGAGAGTTCAGTTCCAAAAGAGTGTTATTAAAGCACAAGTAACATTAGAATTAGTGTTCTATCAGAACATCAGGAAAGAAACAATTAAAACTTTTTTATTCTGTTCAGTTGATGGCCCCTATGTTTTTACATATCCCACGTACCATCAGGATAAATGCGTCCTTATAAAACCAGATTCAATAACTCAAATAGAGTAGAAAAGATTTTAAGATTTCAAGGCTACATAAATCACTACTTAAAATATCACAGAAAATCATTTCAAAGCAGTATCTAAAAAATGGATGTAAGCAATGGCTTTAGAGCAATTCACATGAATATTACATAAGGAATAACCAAACATAATCACACTCGTGGCAAAAGAAAAAAACATCACCAAGCAACAGCATGACACATCCTGTAAGACAAGTTTCTGCCAAAGTTCTATCTTTAAAGCTAAATGCTTTCCCCCACTCACAGCTACTGAAATTTCATGTATCTGGCTGAGTTTGCTTTGAGTATGAACAAGACCTAAGGCAGAGCTCCATATACTCTTTGGTCAACTAAATGTAACGAGCCAGTTTCCAGATGTATTCAGAGTCTACTACTTGCACTACAGTGAAAAACTATTAATCCTACCAAAGTAAATTTGACTACTGGCACTGCAGTTAACGTACCTGTTAAAGATATTACTTGATGGTTGAAATGTTTTTATTGGAAAGATGTAACATTTATTCATATATTTCAGTGAGTCTTCCCTAGAGAGAAAACCAACTGATTTATAGAAATAGTTTTATTATATGTGGAAGGGATGACTGAGTACATGTGAACTCAACACAGGAATACCTAAGTTCAGGTTACAAATGACATTAACAAAATACAACCTAAGGTGACTCTCAAATAAAGCACAAATATTTAATTCGGTCATCTGAAGAACTGCAACCAAAAAAGATGTGTTTTATTATTATGATGATGATACTTATATAATGTTCTGCCCTTTTTATTATTTGAAAAGACCTGAATAGCAAGCAGCCTATAATCTACCATACACACTAATCTACAGAAGTATCTTTCCAATATTCTTCTTTTTAAGTGTACAAAGGTGCATTTTAAAAGTTACAAGGATCTTGACAGACTTTTCCATGCAAAACTCTGAAGCTTATTTTTCATACAAAAGCTAAACTTTCAGACAAGGTGTTAAAAGCTGAAAAACTACCAATATAAATAAGCTTGCAGTGAAGTCATACAAATTTCCAGAGAAGTGAAAAGAGAAAAACACAACCATGACCTTGAATAGTATGCAAATACAAAGAAATAAAAGCAAGAGAACACCACTAAAATCCCAGAAATCTAACCTTCTCCCAAAGGCCGACAGAAGGGGTAAATATGTACAGAGAGGATGTGACCTCTCAAGATAAAGCAGTCACAAACATTAAAGAGAAAATAATTCGTTAAATAGATGAATAGATGAACAAATGAATAGAGAACCGAGTATGCGAATAAAACCTCATGTTAATGGCAAGACCAGAGCACCCACTGACTCCTTCAGTCCACAAATACAATCTGCAAACGAAGAATCTGCTGATCAACTACTATCGTGAATTCTCCCTAAAAGCTGACAGAAAGCAGCCAGGTATCCTACAGGTACCACGGTGGCTTGTCAAGTTTCCCATCAAGTGTCAAAGGAAAAAGTGTCACTACCAAACCCTTGGTACCATTCTCTGCAGCTGGGAACTGAAAGCTTGCAATTGCCATTAAGCTTTGCAAGAAACGGTGCTTATCGCTCTTAATTTGTAAGGACTTCTTTTCAAGCCTGAATCTCCCTTGAATATCAAGCAGCACAAAGCTAAACGAAGGCAACTGGCAGCAAATTGAATCTGCTTTTTTTCATTAGCCAAGTGGAGAAAGATCCAGCAAAAAAACAACAACAAAAAACAAACAAACAAAAAACCCACACAGGAACAAGCTAATTTGCAAATGTAAATAGCTTAAATGTCTAGGTATTCCTTGAGTTACATGTAAAGTCATCTATTACAAACTGCATTACTTTCCCTTTAAAAGTTTTCATTTAATTGGTAATTTCACATTTAAAGAAAAACCATACACCTAAAAATGCCAACCAAATAAAGCAAATGAGACTGTAAAAGGTGCTCTCAAAGCCATCAACAAGTATCAAGCGTTTTCATTCAATAAACTACAAATATACATATTTATTATGACACCAGAAGTCATTGCAAGAGAAAAAGTTGGTTCAAAACTACAAATTATTCCTTTCAAGAGAGGAAAAAAAGCTTCAAACAGCACTCATGTGACCAAGATTTTTGTAGCTCCTCTTTAAAGAAATGTAAGAATACCAAACATGTAGCCCAGTAGTGACAAAACTAGTAAAAGACAAGTTTCGCATGACCTAAAGTTGCTCTGTTTTGTACAGAATATAAAAGTAACTGAACAAACATTGACTTGAAGATTTAAGTGAAAATCAAAGGCAAGTAGTTTCAAATTTGTGCACATCATAAGAAGAGTGAGAACGCATCAATCCCCAAATGAGAAGAACTATCAAAGATGCGTATATTTTTCTACCTTCATTTATGCAAAGCAATACATACATACACCAAATACATACACACCAAAGCATGAACAGATGATTAACACCTAAACCACACACTACTGGATTTTTATTTTTATTTTTTTGTCTACTAAAACAGATCTAGGAGCCATCATCACCTCTAGTGTTAGTTACTAAGTTTTATTTCTCAGCTTCCTAATACGTAAACCCAAGAATTATTTTCCTAGCAGTGACTGAGGATACCACTGATTAACAAAAGCCAAGCAGGCAGTTATTATTTCAGGAAGTCAGATCACACTGGAAGGCCGTAAACTGATGCCACAGCAAGAGAAGATCAAGAAGTGTTTAGCTCCAGCAGTATTACTTTAGATCAGAATTATCCTGCGCTTGAGTCTGTACGGAGTAACATAAAAATAACATCCAGTACAGTTATGCAGCCGTGTGGACAACTACAGAAATGCTGGATGTAACTTGTAATTTTTGATAGTACTTAATGACACGAGAAAAGACTGAAAAGAATAAAAGAAATTCAAGGCAGTTGATAAAACTATACCCACTTCAAATGCAACAAAGTAAGCTATACTCACTTGTTAAGGTTTCCCCATTAAAGTTTGTTTTCAAATCAAATTCACCCTTCTAATTATAGAACCACTTCCTACACAGCTAAAATCTGAACTACTTTGTCTGCCCCTCATTTTATTTGTATGCACTCACATGGGAACCTCCCAGGGACACCCTGAAAAATCTCAAAACAATTTCAAATTCTGTATGTGACACAACAAGCCCAAGCTCAGGAAGCTCTTGCAGATGTTCAGACCGAGGGGGTTCTATTAGATACTATCTTTCAATTTAAAACTACAAATAGTCACAGATGCCTTGGCTCCTGCTTGCCAAATTTGGGAACAGTAGACTTATTTTTTCCCAACACGTAAGTGGCTTCAGTGCACAGTGAACTTAACAAATGTGAAGAAATGTCAAATCAGCAATTTTAGAAAGAAACACAGATACATAAACTGGACACTTACTTCACCTTCCATCTGTCTCTTTTCATTTCCAGCCACAGAAATCTTGATTTTATTTCCCCATGTTATCAACCTCAAATAATCATCTAAAACAATATTTTATTCCAATTTGCCTTGGAAGGTTCAGGATGTAATGGTGTTATTATTGCGTTATTACAACACAACAGATCCCAAAAAATACACATGGCTTTGCAGCCGTCACACTCTGAGTTGATCTTACATCACTAAATCATGATTATGCATAAATTGAAGAAAATGACATGACAGCCCAGTCATCTTTTGCAACCATTCTTTAATCTACTGTCTAAAAGCTAAGTTCAGCTGCAATACTCCAGGCCTCCAGCATACTGACCCTGTTTCCAACCCTCTTTTAACTTTTTAACAGAATTCTAGAATAAAAGACATGCACATCAATGCTTCTTAATGTCCTTGCCAGTCTCTTACCCTAAAAACAGTCAAGAGGTTTTTGCTCCCATCTACAGTAAACAGCTCAACAGGCTAAAAAGAGTTTAGACCTTGCTTCACTTTTGCTGCAGCTCTTACTGAGGAATGTGGATGTGCACACACTTCAGACAGCACTGTAACTATATGCAATCCAACATATCCCTGTATTATATTTATTCTGAAGGACAAATAGGTGTTTCATTCAGATAGTTCAAAAGTATGGCATCATTGTTAAGCAACTCTCTCTACAACTGCTGTTCAACTTCTGACATAAAAAAGAACACTGTAGGGAAACCAGGGCATTCAAAAGTGCCAAAAAACACAGAGAAGCAAAGTTATGTTATCAGTGTGGGATGGAACAAGGTGGAGAGACTTGATTTGAACAATAGCCAGAAGATCTGGCTTCAGAAGTTCTAGATGGAAAAGTAGAAAGCAATACAGTCGGACAAAAAGTAGAGCCAGAGAGAAAAAACACTAATAGAGGCACGCATGAAGAATGCATGACACGCTAACCAAGAGACACAGTTTTTAAGGAAGAAATTATCTTTTATAACAGACGTTCCAAGAAAGAGGTGACCTAAACTTTATGTGTTCACTGATACTTTCTGAAGAAAAAATGGCAATATGCTTCACCACTTAACCGGCAAGACTGTGGGCCTATGAACCTCTGTTTGTACAGGTATAAATGCACTGGAACAACTGCACCACTGTAGGCCTAACTGTAAGCAAGCCACTGCAGAGCACTCAGCTTCCTCTGGTATCACACCACAAAAGGTCACTGGTTCTTTCTACCAGTATGCTACATCAATTACATATTGTGTCTGTATAATTAACTCAGTAGAAGTGTTCTTTATTAAAAATATGCTTGAACGAAATGTAGAAGTCTGTATTTTGAGTCAGCACGCAACTGCTAATCACCAGGCCAAATTTACACCAGGAAAATGCCTAGAGACAAAACGTTAATATATTATCTCACTTTCAACAGCGTTATTTAAACTATGCATTGTTTTAAAATATTGAAGAAAAGAAACAGAATCCTTTATGTACTCTAAACATTGGCTGCCCACGTGGAGAGTTCATAAACTAAAAGCAAAGCGAGGAAGAAGGCTTGGCAATTTTTCTACACAAAATAAATTCCAGGAGAAGTCAAGGTCAAACGATTTAGACGCTCTTCATTGATAACTGTGATAAAATCATTTTGCAGGGAAACTCCTTCCCTGGTCTCATCCTGTCCTGTTCCCTACTCATTCCTAGCTTTGTATGGAGTAGAGGATTGGTGTTAATGTCAAGTATCGCTCCATCTTCACTCCCTTGTTATCATTACTTCAACAGATAGTAAGTGCAGCTAAAACATTTTAAAGATGAAACTTTCAGTCCTGACAGAAGATTAAAAGATTTGTTTGAGCGGGATTCAATCAAATATAGCTGTCTGTTCTTCCAGCTATGGCTTATTCCATACTTCTAAGACCAATCACATCTCTCGACTGCCTTCAGCGATCCTCACACAGACATACTAAGTTTATACAGTCACCAAACAGAAGCAGAATACAAAAGCTTGTAGATAAACCCAAGCAGCAAACAACCTATGTGTTCACTGAGCAGCCCTATTCGAGCTATTTTCAAACACATACTGTAATAAACAACGTGTAAAACAAGTGTCAGGAAGCACTAAGAAAACTCTCGTTGAAATGGAGTACTGTGTAAATGGAACAAGACCAGCAGAGCGGTGAGGTAAGCAGCCCAGAAGTTCATAAAATGAAGTAATTACACGCAAAAAAAAAAAAAAAAAAAAAAAAAAAAAAAAAAAAACAGAAAAAAGAAAAAGCCTAGGCTGCGTTTCTGAGAACTTCAAGCGCTGTGGTTGGGATATACCTACAACAACTCACGCTTCAATCAACACCCGCTGGGCAGGGAAAGCAACCTGTTGGCTCTCGTTAGTTAGCAAACCCGACAGAGGTTGCAAAGAGCACGGAATTAATCGCAGAATTAATTTCTGCCTGTGGCCCTGCGTGAAGATACGCTGCTTTCTGTGAAATAATTAAAGAAATAAAAATAAAAAGGAAAAGAAGTATGCTGGTCTAATTCGTCCATCCTTAAGGACACAGCCCCGGGGCAGCCCCCTCCTCCTCCCCCACCCTCCCGGCGTCGTTCCTCCTGCCACACGTGGCCCAGCCCCGCCGCCCTCCCCGGGAGACACCTCCGCTGCAGTCCACTATGCTCCGCTCACCGCCACCTCTCGGTCACAGCCCCGTTCCCGCCGCCGCGAGGGGGGCGCCGGGGGCCCCGCACCCCGCCCGCCCCACTGCCGCCCGCGGGGGGGAGGGGCGAGGAGCGGCGGGGGGGCGGGGCGGCGCTCACCTGGCAGAAGCGGCGGCAGTAATACTGGCTGTGGAGCAGGGCCGGCAGGCCGGCGGGCGGACCTGGCGCCGCCAGGGCCTCCAGCTCCTCGCTGAGCCGCTCCGACTCCTGGTCGCTTTCGTCTTCCGCCATGCTGCTCCGGCCGCCCTGCGCGTACCGAGCGCCCCCCTGCCCCCGCCCCGCCGCGCCGGAAGGGGCCGCCCCCGCCCCGCCGCCTCACGTCCGGCCACGCCCCCCCCGTCGCGCGCCTATTGGGCCGGCCGGCGTGCCACCCGACGGCCAGCGCGGAGACGGCTCGCCTCTGACCCCTGACTTCTGGCTCCTCCCTTCCGCCCGGCCCCGCCGGAGCGTCTTGTGATTGGGACAAAAGTCTCCTCGTTACTTTACGCAGCCCTTCTCATTGGCTGCTCATCCCGCTCATCACACCCCCCTCCGCAGCTACTGGCCGAAGTGCCCGTCCACTAAACGCGGAGATTGCCTTCGCGAGCTCCGATTGGTCTCGGTACGCCTCAATCACGGTATTTACGCCCGCCCCCAACTCACGATTGGGCTAGCGCGCCGTCCGTCTCCGCGCGGCCGCCTCGGGAGCAGCCAATCGGCACCGGCTTTCCTCCCGTCCGCCGCTGTCGGGCGGCGGTCGCTAGGCCGGTTGCTAGGTCCCGCCTACCGCGGCCGCCAGGGTGGGTAGCTGTGTCTGGCTGCGGCGCGGCGGCGAGCGTCCGGCGCAGGCCGCGCGGAGCGGGGGGAGACCGCGCGGCCCCAGCGGGTAACGGCGCTCGGCGGGGAGGCGGCGCCTCCAGGTCTGCGCTCCGGGCCGGGCGGGGCGGCACGACCACACCTGTCTGCGTCTGGTCGGGCTTAGAGGGGACCGAGCGGCCTCCGGGGGGCGGGCGGTCCCCGGCCGACAGGGCGTGAGAGCGCTGGGGTAGGCGGAAGGCAGGGCCCGGCTCGCTGTCACCGCGCGGTGCCTTCCCGAGGCGAGGGGCGGAGGGCTCACGCGGGCTCGCGTCGCGTATTCGGGCTGCAGGCACTCCGCGTCGGCACGGGGACGCTGCCCCGGGAAACAGACGCGCCCGTCTCTGACTTTGCGGGCTGCTTCGCTTGGCAAAGAGACGGCTACGTCTATCGGACCGCTGCAGACCTTCCTCCTCCTCACCTTACGTGCGCTTCGGAGTCGCCCGAAGACTCTGCGCACGTGCGGTGGTTCCGCCTCAGCGTGAGCTATTAGCGGAGCTCGCTTATCAGCCCTCCCGCAACCTTCGGAGCCGTGCTTCGTCCCCGCGCTCGGCGAGCCGGCCTTGCTTCTGAGCAATCCCTGCCAGACCTTTGAGACTGGGAGAAAAACGGCCCGTGTTTTCGGCGCTTGTCCAGCTCGCGGAATTACTGCCTCCAATCCTGATAGAAGCTGTGTATGATTCGTTTTGACATTTCCAAGTCCTGAGCAACAAGTTGACATTGGGATAAGACTTGTTGAAAGTTTGGTTTTGGGAGGCTTTCAGTTGCTTGTGAAACTCATGGGGATAGAGAACCCATTAGGTAACAAGCAGAAAAAAGTTCCATTGATCCCAACAGAAAATACCTCGCTCTGTAGGGTTGTGCAGGATCATTCAAGCCTGTAGTTTTGGAAAGTAGCAGATGATAGTTCAGAAAACGGACTGGGAAAGTATGTAATGGCAAGATTTTCATCTCCCATGTTCAAAAAGGATGTCGGCTCCTCATGTGACAGTGTGTTTTTTGAAGACTGAAATTGTCAAGACTGAATTCTGTTTGATGGCTCTATTTCCAGAGCAAGTTAAAGGCATTCTGGGCAGCACAAGCTCTGTTCAGTCCTTAAAGTTGGACTGGCTTGCCTTGCAGCTACATGGGAAATCCGTGGCTTTTAAAGGCAGATTTTTTAAATGTTACAACAGCAAGCTGCATGTAACTAAGTAAATACAGTGACACATCTACAGTTACACAGATCTGTCTTTCTGTGTAGTAGTCAGCAGAGGTATTGCAATATTCCTGCAAGGCATTCATCCCCGTAAGTAAATATCCAGGCAACCTGTTAGATTTCCTCAAAATATTTGTGAATTGCCATTTTACTCAAAAACAAGCAAACAAAAAAAAAAAAAACACTCCAAAATCCTCAACCTGGACATAGGGAAGTTTTTCAGTCTTTTACGTTGAAAATGTAACAACAGTAAGAGAAATAGAGCCTGATTGATTTTAGTACACTTGTCTAGATTATTGCTTGCTTTGGTAATGTAATTTTAAAGTGATACTAAAGACAATCCTGCTGTCTTCTCTGAATAATCAGTTACCTTTCTGAGAGTAGTTGTCTCCATGGGAAAAAAAAAAAAAAAAAAAAAAAAAAAAAAAACAGGCTTTTATTCTTAATTGAAACACGTATATGCAGGTTTCTGTTCACATCAGACTGCTTTTGTTGCACTTTCATTGCAATCACAAAAAAAAATCTGAATAAGTTAAGGCCCAGCTGAGGTTTGAGGCAGGGATAAAAGTGAAAGGTATTCCAAGTGAGTTATGAGTGCCAGCAAAGCTCAGATCACTTTATTTTTTAAGTCTATATAAATTGACAGTGATGGCCTTCTTGCCTGAGGTTTTTTCTAACACAGGTAATGCCGACTTTCAGGAAATAGAAATACTGACTCACCATAGCTAATAAATTGTCAAGTATGTTTAAAATACTAAGAAGGCAAAGTGTATCTTCAAGATTAAACTGCATTCGTGGGGAAAAAAAAAAAAACAACTTTGTGTGACTTTCAGTGATGAATGGATTGAAGGGTTCAATTGAGCTTTGCAGCTTAGAAACTAAAAAGCAGTTTACTGTGACCCCGTGCGGAACTTCCTTCTTCAAAGGAAGACTTCAAGATGCAGAACCGTTCAGTAATAGTTTTGTGCATGTATCCGACATGCGATTGGCCTTTAGATGGCAGTTAGCACCATGCTGGATGGTCAACACTCAAGACGGCTTGATTGAAATCATTCCCGTGTCTTAATGGCATTTTTCTTCAGCTTTCAGGTAAAGCTCACCGAAGGCCACAATGGAACGGTTTGGAGTGAAGTCCACTCCGTCACGTAACCGCTCGAAGACCGCTTTGTATGTAACTCCTCAGGATCGGGTAACTGAGTTTGGCAGCGAGCTGCATGAAGACGGCGGAAAACTCTTCTGCACTTCCTGCAACGTGGTTCTGAATCACGTCCGCAAATCGGCAATCAATGACCACCTCAAGTCCAAAACACATACAAAGCGGAAGGCGGAGTTTGAAGAGCAGAACATCAGGAAGAAGCAGAGGACTCTGACTGCCTCCCTGCAGTGCAACAGCACTGCTCAGACAGAGAAAACCAACGTCATCCAGGACTTTGTGAAAATGTGCCTGGAAGCTAATATTCCTCTTGAGAAGGCCGATCATCCTTCTGTGCGAGCCTTCCTGTCTCGCTATGTCAAGAACGGAAGTTCGATACCTAAGTCAGAGCAGCTAAGGAAAGCGTACCTGCCCGACGGGTACGACAATGAGAACCAACTCATCAATACTGAAGATCGCTGAGAAGAAGACTGTTTTAATCATCGTTGTGAAGTTTTACATATTGATGGTGTGGTTTATTTTTATATTCATGCATATATACAGTGTTACATATTGGTTTTGCAAGCTATCTTGTATTGTAGAAATGACAATCTATTTGTGAACTAAGTGGTATGCCGGAGACTGTTGCTAACCCTGCTGTGGACTCGAGAGCTGCTTTGATGTAGGACTCGCACTGAGTGCAGGGAACATGCCTGGCGTACGTCCCGTCTGTGTTCAGTCCAGCTGTAACTGACGCTAAGAAAAAGGCACTTGGGTGGAGAACGTCCCTTACCTTAACTGTGCATCTGAGTACAGGAGGAAGAGGATGCAGTAGGAATTGTTCATCGCATCGCTGGATTGCTTTGTCCAGAATCTTCTCCGTGAGTGACCAAGAAGTCTGCACGTTAAAAATGGAAGAGGCTGTAAAATGGTTAGTTAACGTAAGTGATCTGTTGGGGAGGATGATTGCAATTTCCTAGTCAAGTTGGCTTATGTTTTAAAAGAAGAGACATTTTTCTTCTAGAATAATTCTATTTGATGCAACTGTGGATGCACTCATTACTCATTAAATAGGTGGCCTTTTGTACCACCCTTTGAACTCCATTATTCTTATAAAGCCAAAAGTTCTGAAGATTTGCCATGTCTGGTTTTTTTAAATCTCCTCATCCTTTTCTTGGTTTACTATGTTCCCTCCAGTTTCAGTGCCAAACTTTGAAAGCTAAGTGAACGAACTAATAACTACGTGTGGTTTACAGCACAGCTGCTAGCAAACAAATCTTACACTGGACCAAGATCATAGTAGTAGGGGGAATGAATGCCTGTTTCTTACAGCAAGATAAAAGATGCTGAATTTAAACTGGGGGTGGAGGAGGAACAAAATAGTGGAGTTGATCACGCTTCTCACAGTGTGCAGGGGAAGAGGCTTCTCCGTCTCTCCCTGCAGGTCCTTTACTTCTCGCCTCAGCCTTTTAGTGAAAGGAGGTAAAATGATTAAAATAGTTTTCAAAATAGTTGCTGCAAAGGCTATTCAATATTTGTAACAGCTAGGAAAGCCTGTATACTTTGAAGCTGTAATGGAATTACATACCTGAGGTGTATTTCTTATTCTGTGCCACGATGCCACCTGTTGAACTGACAAAAATTTAAACGTGAGTTAAAGAAGCTCAGTAATGTTGCTCTCTCCCAAATCTAGTAAACTGTTACTAAGCTAATCCAAATTACTATGCCAAATAGTCAATTTGATGCAAGTGCTTGCTCTGCAATGTTTTTAATGGAATGGTGGAGCATAGTAAAAAGAGCTTGATTTTCTTTAGATCTCTGAATTTAAGGAGGTGTCAAGCATTTTCTAAGTTGCATAGAAATGCTCTGCTCAGTGGATATAGTGATGCAAGCATGCTTTAACTCCCTCAAGTGGAGCCAGTTTTCTGTTCATCTTCCTTTCCCTGTAAAGTTTGACAATAGCACACTATTTCTTTCATTCAGGATATTTACAGCAATACTACGTATTTGCTAAAAGACACTAAGTAACCTACTTAGTTTGTTTCTGTGGCTAATTTCTAGAGGAGAGTCTCTTTTGCTGGATTAAAAGAGATTTACATACTTGGTAACAACTGCTTTTTTTGTACAATTCCTGCAGAAATGCAATTAGTGTTACAACAGTGTCTTCTAGCCTTCTGCTAGGGGAAGTGCTTGAGTAAATGGACAAAAACGAAAAGCAGAAGGCATGTGCCAGTACGTGGATACTCAGTACAGTGCTGCACCATTGGTCCCTGTTGAAATTAGTGGGATTTCATGCAGTTGTAGCAGTCCTGTCAATGATATTAACTGCTGGTGTAGGACTTCAGACAAATAACATAATAATGGTTTGGTTTTGTTTTCCTCTAATCCTGTATATCAAAATTTGCCTTCCCAAATATCATTTGCTATTGCAAGAGCTTGGGTTTTGCTTAAGCTCATAAACTGCCTTGGGCTAGAACTGTTTTATAAATCTTCTAAAGCCAAGCGAAAGGTACACTGCCAAGAGCCTTTTCTGTCCTGACCATAGTAGAATGTGGGGTTTTTTTGTTTGTTTGTTTGTCATGGTTTTTCAGAGTGTTTGTTTGTTTGTTTTACAGCTGCTGTCTCGTTGCAGTGAAATGAAAAAACAAACATATGGTAATATTAAGTATACTCTTCCACAGCAAAACAAAAAGAAAACCTTAAAAATGAAAGTTAGTGATAGCTACAGCTTTTGTTTAGAAGCAGTCACTCATTCATTAAGGCAAAGCAATGTTATGTCACCCAGTTTATCAAAAGGTTACTTTCTACTTAAGAAGCAGTCTGTAAATTTAGGCTCTTTGCATAGAATACAATTCTGTGACTTTTGTATCTAAAGTATCTAATATCAACTTATTTTTAATGCAGAATTACTGCGGAGGGTATGAGCCTAGTGAGGATCCCTTTCAGTGTAAACTGTAACAGACTTATAACAAAAAGTTGACCATCAGGATTTTTGAATGGAACTGGCTGAATTCCAACGCACAGCAATCTGTAAGAGGATTCTTATAACTTAAAAAAAAGTTTTTTGAAACTTTATGAAATCAACATTGCAACAGATACTTACAGCAAGTTAAAACAATGGAAAAATAAAGCACTTCCAGGTACCTAGAAAGAATAATAAGTTTGTATTCATGGATATAGCCCAAATCACAAACAAGACATTTACAATTGTTTTCTTTTGAAATGAAATTGGTTCCACTAAGTCTTGGAGTCAAGTCCTGCAAGCAGTCAAGTTTGTACCATAATTTTGCTGTTGTGGCTATAGCTGGACAAAAATAACCTTGTTTTTAATTACTATTGATTTTAAGGAAGATTTACAGCAGAGATTTCCTGGTATTTCTAAAACTAAGTAATAACAAATTCCTGGAACAGGGGCTGTGGTTGTGTTGTTTAACAGTCTCCATGGGGTTTTTTGTTTGTTTTGTTTGTTTTTTCTGCAGGAACACTGCATTTTTTAGTAATATATTTGAAATTACATGTAATTTCAAAAAGAATGTACATGTGTGTACATTAGCTTAGCCAATTCACAGCTAAAATGACTCTGAAATGCATTTTTTAGAACACTTTCAAAGAGTAAAATACTGGACAAAAGGAATATTCTCTGTTCTGTGAATTACATATATAAACCATATTAGTTTCAGCTTGCATGTTCTTGAAAAACGTGAGTTCTAATATTTTTGAGCTTTTTCAAGCCTTTAATTTGGCAGGTCCTTACAGGGAATGAAACACAGGATATAATGAAAAGGAAAGTGGTTTTTCAACTGAGAGAGAAACTTGGTTCTGCAAAGTATGGGATATTCTCATGATAGAAGGACTATTTTTAGTTAGAGCCCTTTTTAATCAATTCTGTTGAACTGAACGGTGATGTGCTCCCCACTGAGTTTTGCAGCACCATAAGGGTTCTGGAGAGGAGAAAAAAAAAAGCTGGAAGTTTGGTAAGGGTTATCTCCATTGGTATTTACATATGAAGAAAGGCAAGACTCACCACTGTTGTGTTCACACTGTACTCACTGCGAACTTCTTGTGTAATTTGAGTGCTTGTTGTCTTTGTACAATTTTAAGATTGTATCTAACTTTCAAAATAAATTTTTTAAAAACAAAGATTCTCGTTGTAAATAACGCTGTTGGTCTTCAGCTGTTTTATCAGTAAGAATTTTTTGCTTCTGGTAAATGGTCACAGAACTATTTTCAGTGAGACGACAAAATGACGATCAGATGCTGGAGTGAGGCTGAATCTACCTGGCTTCAGTTTCCTGCAGTGCCACAGGATTTCCTGCTAGAACAGTAAGACCACAGGAATTTTTTATATTAAAATACTATTGGAAGAGAAATACTTTACTTTGTCAAGTTTTCACTTGGTAATGGAAAAAAATGATCCTTTTTTTAAAAATAAAGGAACTCCTTTTTCATAGAATTTATGCATTATCTCTTATTTCAGCAAGAAAATAAGGAAGTGGCAGTTGAAGTATAACATTAACACAAAGCAATGAAAATGGATGGTGACAGAAAAAAAATGTGAGGTAGAGCAGTGACATAGGCAACCCTTCAAGTAATATCACTGTATCTTGAAGTTATTTGACTGTTGGAAGAACTATACAGTCCCAATGAAGTATGTTTCAAGACTATACTGAATTTCTGTTGCCAGTCAAGTATGTGACTTCCCATTGCGTCAGAAAGTCCGTGATCGTGCCTTCAGTTGCAAGTGAATGCTGACCGAAGTAATTCTTGTGCATTTTGATGCTGCAGAAAGCAATCTGTAGATGTAGGGTCATATAGTTGCCTTCAGATCTTTTCAGGAAGGGCTTCTGTAACCTGGAAGAATCCTTTTCTTCCAATCTGCAAAAAGGTCAAAAATAGATCCTTGTCTCCTTTACGGATTACATGAAATTCAAGCAATAACATTCACCTTTCAAGATAATCCAGTGTACATTTGAATATTTTCAAGTTCCTTTTCCCAAGTCCTTGTCTCTTGGCATCTCATGATGGATCAATGATAAACTGCTGTTGCAGCCTCTTGATTTATGAATTTATTAATCAAGAATTTCTTACTCTTAGCCATGTTCAGGCATCACCTCTCTAAGTCAGGTTGCTTTTTTTACCCTCGTATCAAATGGGAAAGCACAAAAGAAAGAAACATACCGCTTGGTAAAGTTTTCTTCCTGGGACATTCCTCTGTGGAAGAAGGTTATGTATATATGCAATAGGAAAGCATCAGTAGGAATCTGTATGGAAGCTGTTGCAGAATCACATGGGGTGTGTATTTAAAGTTTAATAATGCAGCTACTCTAAATTCTTATGATGACATCTTAACTTCCTAACTTAGTCACATGGTGTAAAGCCACATCCAAGCTGCAGTAGGATTAAGAGTACAGCAACTGCTTTCAGGACACATTTATACTGTTAATTAGGTCTGGCATTTGGGAATGACTTAGGCTGGACAGCAGAGACTGGATGATGAACAGTCTGTGGAAGTTCTGCTTAGGTCAATTAAGGAAGTTTTTCTGTTCATCCTCAACTTTCCTCAGTCCACAGAGAATTTCTAATTTGTGGGCCTTCTAGTGGTAGAAATCTACTTCTTTCATCTTCAAAAGCAGATAGTACATCCCAGAAGTAAAACATGCAGACTGAGATAGGATACAGAGAGCTACAGCAACTGTCCCTTCGCCTTGACCAATTCCAAGTGTTGTATATCGAGTGTAAAATAGAAAAAGTATAAAATTAACAATTCCTGAATATCTATTTCAGCCTTTTTTCCCTTTGAGATAAGCTGTTAATCCTCCCATTTCTATGGCTCACTTTAAGCTTCAGAAAACAGAAAAATTTGAAGGTCTAGTCTTGTAAAATAGCATATGGTTAGAAGATTTCTGCTAGAGCTGGAGGAGGACATAAGATCACAGGTGTGCAAAGCTTGTCTTCAACTGAACTCCAAACAAGTACAGGCAATTTATATTCATGATTTAGAGGCATCTTCTCTAGCTCAGTAGTGCACAGGGAGAGGACATTAAAACTGAGGATTAAGTGCAGTGAAAAGATCAGTACTCTCATATCCTCGTGTGCTCCATGAGCACACTAAACTAAGAGCACACATTCATTAGGAAGTTCCTACTTCCACTTTAGATACTTTCTCTCTTGTTCGTTCTTTCTCTTCAGTGAGAACCACTGTGTCCCTGAGGAAAATAAATAATCTATTTTTTTCTTTTTTTTACTTTTTTTCTTTTTTTCTTTTTTTTTTCTTTTATTTTTTCAGTTCATTAGTGGAGTATTCTATAGCAATGCAGAAGAGAGATAGGGTACATTCAACAATTCTGTTCAAAGCTGAAGAAAAAAAGAATTGTAAGCTTCTGAGGCTGTTAAGATTTTCTTATACATTAGTTTGTCTCAAGCATTTTTCTTTCTGTCCTTTAGGGTAAAAAAACAGCTCCCATATTCAGTATTAGATTTCACTACAGTAAATGAGACCTCTTTACCTTAATCTTCTGTAATTAGCCTTAAATTGCTTCCTCCCTCCCCTTATCTCTGAAGCCAATCATTGCCATAAAACGAATCAAATAATTAGAATAGCCACTTTGCTAAGTGCTTATACGCAGTAAAACCCTGAGCAGGCTTTTAACCTACATTTCGTTGCACTTACAGGCCCATGTTCATTCTGCACTTCAGATGCAAGATACATGCTGGTGGATTTATCGAGACTCAGCTCATCTGATTAAACTGAAATTGCTTAGGAAAAGTAGGGAGATGCAGAGAACTTCACTGTGATAAAGGAAAGAGCTTGCACAGACAAGAAGTAACTGACTCTTCCTTTATCAGTGAGTTACAGTAATACAAGATGGGAACAGGCCACAGGACCACCCCATAGTCCATGGGACAGCACACTTTGCAAGCTGTATGATCACAACTGACAGGCAAGTCTCTGGAGGAGAGATGTTTGCCGAGAGACTAGATTATTCAATAAATTCAAGTCAATAAAGCTACACATAGTGTTAGGAGGGTAATTTTCAGCAGACTTGAGCCCACCACCTCCCACCTTAATGCAGTTAGAGGCCAATGCCTAAGAACTTGGAAACAGGGAAAACACAGTCCTCAGAACACACAGCTTTGTCTTGTCATTAGAAAGAAACTGGGACAGAACAGAAGGAGCATTACATAAATATTTCCCTCACTTATGTCCATCAAAGTTAACAGTAGTCATATGATGATCATAGAATCATCAAGGTTGGAAAACGCCACTAACATCACCTAGCCCATCACCACCATGCCCACTAGCCAATGTCCTTCAGTGTCACATTGACCCTTGCACACCTCCAGAGACAGTAATCCCACCATCTTCCTGGGCAGCTTGTTGCATTGCTTCATCCTTCTTTCAGACAAGAAAATTTTCTTAATACCCAACCTGAATGTCCCCCAGCACAACATAAGGCCATTCCGTCTTGTCCTATTGCTCTCACTCAGGAGAAGAGGCCAACCCCCACCTCATCACAACCTTCTTTCAGGATGTCATAGAGAGTGATAAGGTCTCTTTGAGCCTTCTCCAGGGACTGAACTAACTTTATTCCAATACTTTTGGAACCTCTTCCTTAAAATATTTCCCAACACACCAGATTATGCTAGTTGTTGCCTTTGTATTGAACTCTTAGTTCTTTAAAGAATTGGTATCTGCAAGGATTCAGCCTGATTTGCACGTAGCAAAGAAGCTACTACACTGCATATAGTAGAAGTCAGTGCCATCTAGCGACATCTCTTTTTTGTCACCTTCAAACACTCTCAAGCCTAAACTGAATGTGTAAGGACTTGAATAGATGCATAACTGTCAGTTTAGGACTGTGCCTTCCTTCTTTGGTAAATAGTTATTTTATATTTAAATATATTAATAGTTGTATTCATGTTTACTTTTATTCTTATATTTAAGTTCCAGTTATTTTACATTTACTTGAAGTGCTTTATATACAGCAAAATCTTTACAACATTTTTAAAACAGAACACTGTGTTTTAGTGTCTCAAACTCAGGGACAGATTTTTGTTTATTTGTAAGCTAGGATGTAAGTTACCATTTAAGATCTTAAAAGAATATATAACAAACAAATAGAACCAATAGAGGAGAATCTCAATCCCTCTGAAGGGCTTCCCTACCCCCTGGCAGATTAACGCTCCCTCCCAACTTGCTGTCATCTGCAAACTTACTGAGGTTACACTCAATCCCCTTGTCAAGATCATTAATAAAAATGTTAAATAGAAGTGGCCTCAGTGCCAAGCGCTGAGGGACACCACTCGTGACTAGCTGCCAACTGGATTTAACTCCACTGACCAAAACTCTGGTGTTTTACCCAGCTGAGCATACATCCATCCAAACTGTGGGCAGCCAGCTTTTCCACAAGGATGTTGTGGGGGCAGTGTCAAAGGCTTTACTGAAGTCCGGGTAGACCACAACGAGAGCCTTACCTTCATCCACTAAGCAGGTCACCCTGTCACAGAACGAAATCAGGTTTATCAAAAAGGATCTACCATTCATAAACCCATGCTGACTGGGCCTGATCCCCTGGCTGACCTTTAGTTAATCCATGATGACTCCTGCAATTATCTGTTCTATAATCTTCCCCGGCACTGAGGTGAGACTGATATGTCTGTAGCTACCAGGATCATCTTGCCAGCCCGTTTTGAAGATGGGTGTCATATCTGCCAGATTCTAGTCCACCAGAACATTTCCAGGTAGCCAGGATGGCTGAAGGATGATAGAGAGTGGCTTGACAACAACATCCCCAGCTCCCACATCACTCTAGGGTACAACCCATCAGGTCCCATGGACTTGTGAGCATCCAGCTTTCAAAGCAGGCCCAAAACCATCTCATCGTGGATTATGCAGGGCCTATTCTTCTCCCCATCCCTTTATATAATACTTGCAGATGGCAGCTCCTATCTTAAGTTCAAACATTTTCACAAAGTTACCAACAAGAAACTGTGAGTTTAGAAAGCTAATATCAAAATGTCATAGAGAACAGTCAAAGGTTTGACTTTTTGTTAAACTAAGTAAGGAAGAAAAGACTCCGTCCAAACCAGTTGCCAGTCTTCCTTTCACCTTGCTTGGAATGACCTCATAACATTCTCACTTTTTGAGGAAGTCAAGGAAGCTCCTCAAAATTGTTATAAAATCATAGAATCTCCAAGGCTGGAAAAGACTTTGAGATCATGTAGTCTGACTATCCGCCTACCACCAGTATTTCCCACTAACCCATGTCCCTCAGTACCATATCTATACATTCCTCGAACACATTCAGGGATGGTGACTCCACCATCTCCCTGGGCAGCCCATTCCAGTGCCTGACCACTCTCTCAGAGAAGCAGTATTTCCTAATGTCCAACAATATAAACAATGTAATGAGGGATCTGATCACATGCACCAGTTATCCAAAGCACAATTGACCCCTCCCTCTCCCCCCACCAAAAAAAAAAATAAATTTTTTTTTTTACAAGAGTCAAAGGACATTAGAAATGCTTTAGGGTTTTGTAATAAGACGACGATATTGACCACAGCAACAAAACCCCTCCCCATTTCCCAAGGTCCTTCCTTGTGCTCATCAAATCAGGAGGAACAAACATGAAATTTTAACTCTATTTACCTATTTTTGAGTGATTGTTCTCTCTCTCATTGTTTCGCTCTCTCATTAAAATTTCGGTTTTATAATGAGGATACAAAGATTACGTATTAACTACTACTATAGCACAAGTTCCTGGCATAAACTTTGAGCAACTCAACATTAGCACAAGCAGAAATTACAGCGCTCAGAACACATCCCTTTAATGATCAGTTTTACTGTCTATGCTGGCTATGGACTCCACCACTAGGTGTCTTCACAACTCAGAATTACAACGTGCAGTTCGAGTATTTTGTCTTCAGTGGAAGTTTGGTGAGTGGGTGGATAGTTAGACTCCAGCAATTTTCTTTCTTAACTGTTTTCCAGTTATGCTGGTTTACAGTATTTGTAAGACCATATCCTTACAAACATCTCTATGATACTCCCAATCTTATGAACTGTGCTAGGCTCTTCTAACAGTTAAATTTTGGAAAGCTATTCCATTATTTTCTCCAAAATATCACTTAGATTTTTGCTAAAGTATAACATACCCCTCTACTCTGCTCCCATGAAACCCCAGCTGGAGTACTGTGCCTAGTTCTGACACCCCCAACACAAGAAAGACACGGAGCTGTTGGAGTGGGTGCAGAGGAGGATCGTGAGGAAGATCAGAGGACTGGAGCACCTCCCCTACAAGGACAGGCTGAGAGAGCTGGGGCTCTTTAGCCTGGAGAAACGACAGCTCCAAGGAGACCTTACAGCGGCCTTCCAGCACCTGATGGGAGCCTACAGGAAAGCTGGGGAGAGACTATTTTTTTAAGTGCATGTAGCAACAGTACAAGGGGAAATTACTTTAAACTTGAAGAGGGTAGATTTAGACTAGATATTAGGAAGAAATTCTTTGCTGTGAGGGTGGTGAGATGCTGGAACAGGTTGCCCAGTGGGGCTGTGAACGCTCCCTCCCTGGAGGCATTTAAGGACAGGCTGGATGGGGCTTTGAGCAGCCTGTTCTAGTGGGAGGGAGGGCTGGAATGAAGTGATCTCAAAGGTCAGTTCCAAACCAAATCATTCTATGATAAACACATTTTAAGATAGAATTTCATAACTGCATTTTTTTTCTTTCCTGGTTTCTATCTGTAACTGTTGTATTTGCATTATAAGCAAAAGTGATCGCTGCTCTGCACAAAATTCCTGTTTAACTCTAGTTTGCTTCTAATTTTATGAAGAATCTCTCCATCTGTTAGGATTTTTGAGGAGCAGATATTTTAGAAACATTCAGAGAGCAAAAAAAAAAAAAAATAATAATAATATGTACTTTAAAAGAATAGCCCAAATCCAAATCTAGATTTCTTGTCTCTATGTCACAAGAAGGCTAAGATTTGGAATTGAGCAGACTACTGTGAATTAATGAAAATTGCGACAGATCTTTATCTAACAGCCTGCAAACAGCTGATTTGTTTGGCTTCCTAATTTTAATCTTCTATGTAACTAAGGTTGATTATAATAATACATAAAAACTAAACAATTTAAAAATACTATTTTGCATTCTTTTCTTGGCGCACTGCTGCTTGTAAAATCAAAATCTCAAATGCAGAAGAATCTTACTCAAAACAATGTGCAGCTCTATTGCAAAGTAAAATATGTTTTACTCTGAATTACAGAGCAGTTCTGACATATCACAAAACAATCAAGCAGTTCACATTTCAGCTACAATGAAGCTATGGCATAACCCTCCATGTTTTTGCATAATACTTTGCTTCCCTGCCCCTTTTCTCAGTGTTATCTTAACAGAAGAACTAGAAAAGGAAATCAGTTCAGATATGTCTCCTGTGTGAACCTAACAGGATGCAAGAGGCCATCTGAGCTGCACTTTTCAAACCCACAGGAACCCCTCCTCTACCATGTCCTGAGAACAAAGCCTCCTCCAGTCATGTTGATAAGGTGGATCTTGTTGTGCAGCCTTCTAGTAAGGCTGGCTCAGAGCAACAATCAGGATTCTGGTAAGTTGTGGTTTTATTATTTATTGTATGTTTGAACACTGAAAGGGAGAGAGAAGAAAAAAAAAAACAGAAACCAATTCCTAGTGTACCTTATAAATAACTTATGTCTTATTTTATAACTATGTCTGACACTCCTAAAGTAATTAAATAGGATAATTCTGGCAACAATTGAGAAATATTAGGTACCTGGTCTAGCACCTGAGGACCAAACACATCTTTCTTTGTGGGCTCTGCCCTCAAGCGGGGTGACAGTACTCAAAGCCTCTGCTTGAAATCTAGGATTTCTACCAGCTGCAACCTGGTTTACAGTCAGATTGTCCTTACTGCATAAATACATGCATCTTTCTTCATTTAGCTTATTTCAGTACTAGTTTTCAGCCTGTTTTCAATTTAGAACCCCCAGAGTTTTTAAACAGAGAAGCCCTCCTAGTTCAAAATGATGCAAGCACAATGTGCTCAATCCACCCGTACTATTAATTTTACTGCAGACTTTATTTTGGTTCTTAGAGCTTCCATGCTGTTCTCATCCAGGAGACATAAATGTTGTTATTGAAAGGAAGGTAGTCTTACATTAAGGGTAATAGCTATGGGAGTGGATGTTCTCATCTGCTCTCAGTATATTTCAGGTATTTCAAACAACACATTTATCCAAATAAGACTTGTTACAAGGCATTGCTAAAATAACAAATTCAGTATGGGCTATGTGAAGCTTAGTTGACATGAATGACCAATTCTGCAGATCTATAGCATCAGACAACGTTTTTACGAACAAAATACATCAAAAATACTTACAGGAAAAGTTAAGTGGTTATTCAGAGTACCCTGAAAGGGAGACTCAAATACTTGGCTTAGAATACATGAATCATCAGGTCAATTAGATGCAGATGTTTCTTAATTGGAATGTTATCTGAGCTCAGCCAGGCTACCAAATTTCTTCAGTCATTTGAAAATCAAACGTAAACAGCTTCTGAAGGGAAGTATCCAGCAACAACCTTTTTCATATTCAGCAAAAGTCCTCTCAGCTTGTAAGAGATAACTACTACTTCTGCTCACTTCATTATGACGGCCTGAGCTATCAGGTTCTCACAGACACCTTCCTCCATTGTCCATCTCATTATTATGTGTGCGAACCCCAAGACTCATCTGCCAGGTTCCTAGATAATGTTTTTAAAACTAATTTTATTGCACTTCTTACTGCATGAATCCTGCTTACATAGAATCTATTTCACCAGGTTATTCTTTGACCTACACCAAAATTATGTGGGAGACTGAGAGCAATACTGTTTCCTTCTACAATCTTACATTACTATATAGTATCGGAATCATTTTTACAAAAGCATTACAGGCAGAAGTCTTTGAACACTAGTCTCTACAGAATCTTGATATTTTTTTTTTTAATGTATTTACATTTTAGACAAGTTTTCCAAGCTTGTTCAACTTTTTTTTTTTTTAAAGATGAAAGCTGAAGGCAAGTTATTTAAGCTTTGCTTGCTGCCAATCTATCTAAACTTTCCTAAACTCCTAACAAAAGTTGACGCTGACAGATTTTGTATACCAAGTTAATGGCAAACAAATCTTTGCTAAATTAGAGAAGAGGTAAACACAAGTTTTTTGATAAGTTTACATATGGACCTTCTCTTCTCTACAGCCCCAGTAATTTCAGCTCAGTCAAACCCTGGCTCTTTTGAAACATGACAACATTGGCTATTCCCATCCAGTTGCACTGGCAGTGGTTGTTGATGTCTGGAACATATAAAGTTGATGCAGTATTTCATACTGATCAAAACAAACCAAAACCTAGCAAGGCTTCCACCACCCTGAGAAGCCTAGCCAGTCTCTGCACACAAATTCACTGGTCCTAAAACATCACCTTTGCTGTTAGCCCTCCCTGCAGGACAGCTGGCACATTCTAACATTTCAGCTATACTGAAATTTGCCATCTTTAAGTTTCAGTCATTGAAACATAAAGACATATTCTCTGCTCTTACATCACATAACAACTTTCATCAAGGAACTGTTTTAGATAAATAAATAAAGATGCAGTTCTGACAGCTGCCTTGGCACACAGGTCAGCTTCACAAATGTTATCACCACTAAGAAAAGGAAACATTCACAAAATTGAGCAGCTTTTTATTGTTTGCAAAGCAAATATAAAAAGTAAATGGCTGTATTTAGAACATGGGGAAAAATAAGCAAAAAGGGCCAAAACTAAGTTTCTATTAGCTAAATGACAAATTAATTCATTTTAAATATATCACAGGTTTTTTTTCTTGTTGTTGTGTTTTTTTATTGTTAATTCCTACATATGGCATACTATGTCATCTCTTGGTCCTCTTTAAAATGGCGAAGAAGAAAACAAGATTTCAATTAGTAATTCTTAATTTACTGGAATTCTTTCAAATTCTTAGATGAGGTGTGAATGACATCTTTTAGAAACGAAAGATTAGAAAGCTCAATTTTTAGCTGTTGTTTTTCTCCGGTGAGTTGAGTTACATAAATAGAAAGGTGTCTTCATTATCCCTGTTGGTTTCGCTTAATAAATAATACCATGACTACTATGTCATCCCCTTGACCATAAGAATAATAGAAAAAAAGTGTTTTTTTATAAAATTACATTATTGTCACACATCTTTCATTATTATATAAGTTTAGAGTGCACATTATCATGGTTGTTCACTACACAGAAAGTTTTCCTTACCTGTAAAATTAGTTCTAGGCACAGTTGAGCTTGGCTTGCCACAGTCTATCCAGAAGCGCAGTGAAGCGATCCAAAAAAAAATTTGCTGTTATTCAATCTGAACCTTTCTAAGTTCTGTAAGCTTGAAAATGATCTATAGAACTTTCATATTACAGATTCTTTTACCCTCTTAAAAACCACCCATTCAAATATTCATCATGAACTCCCACGTATATAAAACACTGAGAATTTCAGACATGATATCAAACCTTCTAATTGGTTTCAGCTCATAACAGTATTCCAGAAAGAACAATTCAATTTCTTTTGGAAATCACATGCAGTCTTTAATGGGAAGATTACAACTCCCTGAGATTGACTTCTCATACCCCATAGCAAGATAAAAAAAATAAATAAATAATCACATTGTCAGGGGAAGAGTATTCAGAGCCACATCTACTCTCATTTACTGAGATTTATTGAGTGTTTCTTTCTAATAGCAACCAATAAATAGAAAACAAAAGGTTATCTGCTAATTAAATGTTGATTCTCCCTTCTCCCCCACTGCCTGTTAAAGACATCCCTTACAGTCTAAGAAATGTTTTTATATTATTTTTTAAATCCGAGATCTTCACTGAGACCTATTCATTTTCAGTGGTCCTTAGAGCTATACCTAGGAAAGATATTTTAAAGTCTCCATTAAATATCTTACTCTGTATAGAGAGTCCCAAGAATTTTGGTTTTAGACAATTTTTTCCCCCACTGCTTTTTATCTACTTAAAGGTTTTTTTGTTTGTTTGTTTTTAATTACAAATGGGATGACTCGTGAGAGAGGAAAAGCTAACAGGATATTTTAGGGCACATTCATTATGAATTCCCACAGTTAATTGTTGATGGTGGATTATAAAAAAACTCTTTTGCTATCCTAATTTTTATCGAGCTTCAGAACAATTCCAACTAGGAGTTTTCTAAAGGCTGAATGAGTGTCCTCTTTTCTTTTTAAAGATTCTTTTCTAGAAGGTCCTCAAATTTATGGCTTACAATATATGTAAAGTACTAGGTTTGTTTCTAGTAAAAGTTTATAAACAAAACCAAATAGCTCAAATATCAATCATTAACAAGTCACAGAAGTACCAAAAAAAAAAAAAAAAAAAAAAAATTGCAGTTATTTTTATACTCCAATCATTGCTTTGCAACTGAAAGGAAGGAAAAAAAAAAGAAAAAAAGCAATCTAAAGCCCAATCATCTCACCCTTCTAAGAGGAGCCCTTTTATAGGACAGCCTACAAACTCTTATGTGCACTAAAAAGTAACCAGTAGCTTGGTTAACAAGTTCAAAAGATTCCTCTTTGACTAACAGAAAAAAAAAGAAAAAAAATTTACTCAATGAAGTAATAGTGTTTACCTACTATTCACAGGCTGCTTCTAAGGGATTCACAAACATAAACTATGACAACTATATCAATTTACAGTAAGCTAAGCCTCTTGTCATAAGAATACAACTACACTGCTCTCAGTCCACTCTCTTTCCATCCCTCTCTCTACTTCATGTTTTGTCCTTCTAAGGAGGAGGGGAGATGAGGCTTTATTTGCTAGGGTTAATTGGCAGCAGGTTGCCAAACATTTTCACCTGCAGCAGCAGCAGCTGGAAATGAAGACTAAAAAATGTTTTACACAGGTCAGTTTGTGAAAAAAGACAGAAAATTGGATTCAGACCCAGTAGTGGCTGGGAATATTCCTCTGGAAATACAATTTTAACAAATCTGATTATGTTGTAATTACAGTAGTATGAAGAATGCTCACCATCAGATGACGAAGGAACACAGTTTTGGCACATGTTGGCATAGGTATTTGGGGAAGAAAAAAAAAGAAAGAGGAAACGTTAATCAAGCTAACCCAGCTGAGAAACTGACTAGCATATGTCATTTGAACTCTTGAAAACGTACCAAATCAGCAAAAGTAATGTGAAGTTCAATTGCAGTGGAAGATTTTTTTAAAGTCTCATTGTCATGAAGGAAATCCTTTGACAGCAGTGGACTTAGCTCCTTACAACTTAACTGGCGGCAGTGCAAGAGATCATAAGGAGGGAAATTTCTTCTGATATCAATGCAAGAAAATGCATAAGTGATTCCAGTCCCCAGTTAAAGCCAGAAGGTAACTTCAGCCTTTCTGCACAGACAGTAGAACCCTGTTCTCTCTGAGAGGGTCTGCTGCTGAATGTTACTCTACGTTAAGCTGACCAGTGCAAGACAATCATTTTTTCAGAACAAGAAGTAACACTGATAAGACATTTTTGCTTCCAAGATCCCATACCACTAATCTTCATCTGATGTTGACAGGATTAAGTACATGGCTGTTGTTACTCAGTCTTTGCATTACTTATCACTTTGCCATAGAAGTTTAGTATTTTGCACTTGTCTTCTTGAACTATCATCTGTCTTTCTACAAAACACCTAATTTATCAAGATCATACATAAGTCAAAACCTGTCCCTTAGTGCTTATATAATTTCTGCCAGCTTTCTAATGTGTATAAATTTAATAGATACCTTCTTTTTCTACAACTGAGTCATTGGTTAAAATCAAAAACTGGACTCAGAACAATTCAATAACCTCTGATACGAATATCCTTTCATTTTTACTTTGTTCTGGTCTAATTATTTAGAGTTTTGCAAGTATTGTATGTGCAACTGTAGCATGTTATCAAAACATATCTAGGCAACAGTTGTCAAAGGCAGCCTCAAAAAATACCACAGAAGTCAAAATATATCAGAGAGAGAGAGAGAGAGAGAGAGAGAGAGAGGGCTGCTTGACTCTTCATGATGTCTGTTACTTGGTCACAGGGGGAAATCAGACAAGTTTACTGTCATTTGTTGCTGATGAATTCATCCAGACTGTTACGTTCTCTTTATCTTCATGAGACTGACAGACAGTTTGGTTATTTGTTTTTTCTATACCCATCAACTGGAAGATAAAGACATACTTAGGATTTCTTTCTCTGGACTTGCAAGCAATCACTCTTCATTACATAAGCACTGTACTATAAGGCAGGGTAGGGAAGTAGGAAGCTCTTGGTATCACATACTTTTTATTACTTAGCCAAAGAAATCAAGCACCATAGGAAACAAAAATCTTTATTGATGTCAGGACATCAATGATAAGACCCAAAGTAAAATTGATATATTGGAGCTTGAACACTGAGTTTAGCAGAACTTTACAAAACTGAAGAAACAGAGATAAGATATACATAATTATTTTCATTATTCCAGTTATGACAAATCAATACCAAACAGAAGTCTTTACTTCTGTGAATTATTAATGATTGTGAAGTAAACAATAATCTGAAATAAATCTAAAAGTAACAGAAAATGTCTGTGACAAAGATGACATAGGAAAATATTCTATGCAAATTTTATGTATTTTCTGTCTAAACTACAGATCCAGATTTGATTGAGAGATTAACTGATACTCGTATCAGAGGGAGAAAGTCAATTTTAACAAAACTCCTAAAAATGAAGGAAGCTGCAGTCTTGATTTATCTGCTGTTAGTGTCCATATAGAGATAAGTCCTGAAAGTAGACAGAGAAAGCCTAGCAAAAATCAGAGAGAAAAGAAACTGTGATTAGTGGCTTTACGAATATATAATCAATCAACACAAATCATGATTTTTTCCTCATGTTTTTCTTCTCTTCTTGGATTTGGTGCCAGTCATAGTCTAGCTGAAACTAAAGTTCAAAGAAACTCTGAGAGCAAAATTTGTGTTGGTAACCACTTGGTTATGCACTGTCTAGTTTGTTACTGCGAGGAAAGGCCAGTCACACTGTTGTTCAAGACAGAGGTGGAAGGATGAGTGCTGCTGAATGATACCGAAGCATGACCTGAGTCCAATATTTTCACTCCGGAGATTTTCCTCATTGCCAGAATGATAGTGAGACCAGTAGGACTCTAAAAGTTGGAGTTCATTAAAAAATGTGGACAACGGACTGAGGGAGATGGTTCTCCCCATCTGCTTTGCCATGGTGAGGCTACATCTGGATTACTGCATCCAGTTCTGGACTCGTCATTTAAGACAGACAGGGATCTTCCTGAGAGAGTCCAGTGAAAGGCCATAAAGAGTATTAGGGGCCTGGAGCATCTCCCTTAAGAAGAAAGGCTGAGAGACTATCCAACCTGGAGAAGACTGAAAGGGATCTCATCACAGCTGATAAGTATCTGAAGGGCAGGAGTCAACTGGATGTGGCCAGTCTCTTTCAGCAGTGCCCAGTGGCAGGACTAGGGCAATGGGCACGAAATGGAACACAGGAAGTTCCATACATACATGAGGAAGAACTTCTTTACTGTGAGGGTGTTGGAGCCCTGACACAGGCTGCCCAGAGAGGTTGTCTGGTCTCTTTCTCTGGAGATATACAAAACCCACCTGGACACTTTCCTGTGCAACCTGCTGTAGGCATCTGCTTTAGCAGAAGGGGTTAGAACCAATGATCTCCAGAGGTCTTTCCAACTCCTAGAAGTCCGTGATTTTATGATTTTGTTATTGTTTAAAGTGAGTCCCATTGAGTCTCAAAAAGATCACTATTAAACAAGTGTATTCCATTTACAGGAAAATCCATTCATGATGGATGATGGCTTCTCCCAGCATGTTTTTCTGGTAGCATAGTAACAGTCCAAAATCAGCTGTGTGGGTAATTACCACCTTCATGCTTCAGTCCTGTCTCTTGGTAATGGGGAAAGAGAAGAAGAGAAAAATAAAAGGAGGATCTGGAGTTGAAAAGCAAAGACTAAATGGCCTTTAGTGAATTATTCAATAATTAAAAATTATCATCTGGAATGAAGAAAGACCATGAGAGGACAGGCTTGTTATATGCTGTATGACTAAACAGAATGCCAATAGGCATGTATTCATAGTCGGTGAGGCAACACAACAGTAAAGAAAACAAAGCAGTTCAAGCCTCTTGTTGAGAATGATCTTGCAATAGGGAGTCATAGAATTGTAGAATGGCTTGGCTTGGATGATCTAGTTTCAGCCCCCCTGTGAATTGCCACCTGCTAGATCAGAGAAAGTATAATTTTGTACCCAAGAAGTTCAAGAACAGAAAAGATCTCTGTGCTTTAAGTACCCTCAAGGAGTAAAGGACAAGTGATACTTTCATATTAACTTAGCCAGTTGTGAAGTCTGAACCACATCTGCCCTTCTCAACATTGCTCTGCTGGTAGAAAGAAGTCTGCACATCTGTAATGTCCAGCTAAGACAGTTATAAAACTGTTCTGCTGCCACATCTTCTCATGATAAGTTAATGGACTTGTAACCATTGTTACATTTTGCAACAGGAAAAGTCACAGCAGAAATAGAAAAAACAGAATTTATGGCTATAATCTGCTGTAAGGCAAAGTATTTTCCCAGATTCCACGATACAGATTTCATTTGAAGGAAGAAGAACAGAGATTCTTGAGTATTAGAAGGGCATATTCACAAATATCATACTATAAATAAATGGTGAAATAGACCTCAGTGTACATGCTCTATTAATGTATTTATATGAGTACCAAGGAGTTCTGAAACATAGAACCACTCTGTCAGCAGTGGAAGACAAACACTTCATTTCCCCCTCCCACAAATCACTGCAGCTTTCGTTTGTTGAATTTAGTTTCCTCTTCCATCACTAGTTTGAAGGTGAGGTTTGTTGACACTTCAGTGTGTGGAGCAGAGAACACAACTGCAGTGCAAAATGTCTGGTTGCAGTTTCATTTCCCTGTCTTATTTTTCTCTTTCAGAAAAGTCTGCAAACATCACCACACCTTCAGCAAAACGTAAGTTCTGATTTCTTATTTCCTCTTTAACAGAAACAAAACAACCAGTACTGCTATGAGTTTCAGTCTTAAATTAAAGCTAGACCCCTAAAATGATCATCTTCCTAATGATGCCATGGGCATAATCCATAACAACATTCATTTCTAGACTCTAGATTTACATATAAATCAATCAGAAAGCTTTTTAGTTCTTTTTGAATACTGTGCAAATACTACAGAAAAAGAAGAGGAAAAAAGACCTTAATCTTAGAATGCATTGGATGTTTATAGCTATGCTTTAATTCTGACCCTTTGTTTGTTTCTGTCGGCCTTGTGCTATTTATCATTCCTCAGCAACACTTTTCCACGCAGTTTTCATTCGAGTATCTTCATACTTGCTAATATGTCCCTGGAGATGGTTATCTCATGACATGCTGTACCAAGCTAAAGAATGTTTTAATTACATTAGGAAGCCAGTTGCATCAGAAAGAACAAATGCTAAAATCTCCAGTCAAATATTACTCTATGCTAATGCATGTTAATGCAGTTTTAGATGCCTCTACTAAGTCAAAAGAACATGGAAAAAACAAGACATTGCACATTATTTATGCTTCAGTACCCGTGGGTCTGTGCTGTCCATTCATCTTCATATGCGTGTTTTGGAGTCTAAGGAGGTACTATGGTGAGCAGTTTTAACATACAATATTTTCTTACTGTGTATCTGATTCCATAGCTTAAAGTTTCACTGAAGGTTTAATGAAAATCTGCTAATAATTATCCCAATTAATTGTCCTTGTCAAGTGTGCTGGTTAAAATAATGAATCTTCAAAAAGTTCTACTTATTTCATGGTGTTTTTTTTTTTCCTTCCAGAGAGACAAGTGTGAAAGTAAAAAGCAAATAAAATATACAGATTTTATAACCGTTGGAATTTTTTCTCTCTCTCTTTTTTTTTTTTTTTTTTTTTTTTTTTTTTAAATTTGGTTGGTTGGTTGTTTTTTTGTAGTTTCTTTTTTGAATGATCAAGTTATAAATGAGTAAGGCTGTTAGCCACATAAATGCTGTCAAATTCTATTCAGTTGCATTTTATATTCCCACTTTTCCCTCTGAGCTATCAAATAGTTACCATATTAATCTCTCATGTTTTACAGGAACTCTTACACAGGTGCCATGCTCTAAGTCAAGAGGGGATCCTGGAGTCCCCCACATCTTATTAAGTGAAGCAATCAATTATTTGTTTTCTCATGGAATGGCTTAAGGATTTTTCCATACCTTTTCTTGCCATTTCACTGCAAATAAGACAACTAGCCACAAGTACAGCAGGAATTTAACTGCTCCTATTCAGAGAAGCTCTGAGGAACACAGAAACACATTCTATAAGAACATCGTTTTATGCTGATTATCTTTTGGCAGTAAAACAATTCCCAAATATACTGTGGAGATAGATTTTTATTCTTTGAGGGGCACTCAATAAGGCAAGGGCTGCTTTGGTAATCTATACTCCTCTGTGAGCAGAAAGGCATCTTCTCAATGCTGATTGATTGAAACATCTTTTTTTTTTTTTTCTTCCTAGGAAAGCATAAGAGAACTCCATCAACACCACAGAGACAAGAGAGCCGGGTATGCTTAAATTCTGCCAACACTGAAACCTGATAATGTCCAGTATAACCACATGCTGAAAATAAATTTTTGGATAGTGTAAAATGTGGAGTAGGATTGGAGACAGATTTAGTTGTGGTGCCTGGAAAGAATGGCTTCCCTGGCATGAGATATCACCTTGTCTGAGCTGAAGGGAAAGAACTCAGTGTTTTTGCCACAAAGGTTCTTCAAGCATCTGAACTCCTTTTAAAGTGCATTAATTTGTAAAACCATTCCAGTAGGAATTTAGGCATCTAAAGCACCTCTGTTCACCTGGTTCTGACTGCACAAGACAAAAAGTCACCCGCAGGGTCAGGAAAATGATTGAGAAGAAGGGCTTTACTATGTGGCTAGCACAAATTCAGACAATTCTTGTAATAGGTACCGAGAAAATTAGATGAGCAGAAGGGAGAACACAAAAGATGCGACAGGCACTGGCAGCAGTCACTCACAAAAAAGGCTGTGGTAGGGATCAAAAGGCACCAAATGGACTGTAGTGCTCCCGAAAGACAAGGTGGGGGAAAGAAAATTGAGAGCAGCATGTTCTAAGTGGTTGGAAAAAATGGATGGCAAAAGAGGATTTCTTTAAAGAGAGACAGATTTATAGAGGAACTTGCAGATTTGGGAGAAGAGAGATTTATTTGGAGAATAATTTAAAGAAAAGAAAAAAAAAAAGTAATAGGTCAGAGATCTGGAAATAGGAAAATAAGGGCAATCAGAAAGATATTTTGGGGTTTGGAGGGGAAAATGAGGATTTACTAGGCTCAGAAAGAAGAGCTGAATGAGTGTCATAGAAGAGCTTTCAAGAGGATAAATCAGTTTTGCCTTAAGTTGAAATCATGCAAGGAAAGACACGACTGAGTTTGGGAAGGGAAGTGGAGGAAGACTGGAGACACGAGTATGATTTCTAGCTTATTTCAAAGATCAAAAGAAAATCCAATGATCAGTTGAGTCCAATGCACCCATCTTTAAAAGCAGTTTTAAAGGAATACAAGACCAACAGAATCCTACCCACTTCTTATCTAGCAGGAGCACAGGCATAGCCAGACATGCATAGAGCTGTATCCTGTTCTGTCTTTTGCAGGTCAGAAGTCCATCAGCTTTTCCATCCCATGCTGCTGGGACAACTCCAGCTACAGATGAAAGCTCCTCACTTTACTGCTCCATGTGTAGCCCACCTCAGCTCTTGCCTGTCAACAAGATTTATGACAGCGTTCCTCACTGTAATGCTCAGGAGACAGCATCTAACTCACCTCATAATGATCCTTCCATCCCAGCTTCACTTGAAAACCAAGATGTCCTCATATATGCATCACTAAACCATTCTGCTTCTACAAATAAATACCAGAGAAGGAAACTCCCTATAGAAAATGAATTTATAGAATATGCCTCTATTAAGGTAAATAAATAAACATGGCAGACTTCACCAAACAGCCATTTTGTGCGCAGTCTCAGGTTTATCTTCCCTCCAGAATACCTTTCCTTTCTTTCGCAGGAAAACTTTCCTTTTGTTTAGAAGAACCTGTGAATGCTCCCCCACTGCAGACAGGAATTCAAAACACAGCCTGTGTCATGCAGATGGCTGGGTAATTGCACTGGGTATTCGTCTCTTAAATGGCGGAATTAAAGGAAACACAGCCAGCTTTCATGTTCTTCCTTTGCTCAGGATTCTGCTTCCAGCCTGACCTTTTGTTGTGGTTTGAACAGAGGCAAAGGGGAAGAGAAGGGAGGGCTTTCTCAGGTCATAAACTTGTAAAACGAATCCATGAGGAAGATGATAATGAGCCAAATTAATTCCTCCAAAGTAAATACTAAAAATACGCGGGGGAGAAATTTTCTCTGAGGTTCTAAGAACACCCTTACCAAGATCCTCCTTCTCATTCCAGTTTATCTCCTTGCAAAATTCCTTGAACATCATGAAGACATAATCCTCTTATTAACTGAAATCATGTAAATACTTTTGCTTGTTTGCTTCTTGTGGGCAACAGGCAATAAGATGGAAAATAAAAGGTTGTTGTCCTTTTATTAAGAAATAAGAAATATTAAGAAATATTTCGCACAAATAATGTGTGAAAATACATAGAGTGTTCTCTTTTTTTCCTCCTGGTGTGATGATTGATAAGCTAAGTTAATGCATACTGCTTTTGTCCACGATGAGTCTATGGAAATAACAAATGCTGAGCAGTGACTGACCATAGTCAAAATAAAAACATTCTGTTCATGAGTTCTGCGCCAGGCCAAGCTTTCCTCCCATCACTGGCACAAGAACATGATTATGCTTCAAGCTCAGGGAAAGAAGATAAAGAGGAAGTAAGGATCAAAGTGTCATTTGAATTTTGAGGAGAATGCTCATGCAGTTCTTTTGCAGCACTCATTTCATTGTAGTTTGGATATCATGCATCTGCTCCTGCAGCTCAATACTCTGAAAAATTACATTTAGCATTGTCTGCACCAAGAGATTTGCAGAAGCAAACAGAGAGGCTTCAACATGGTTAAAAATTCAGACCACAGTTGAAAAGGAAGAGAGGATCAGTTCTCAGTGTGCATATAATGCACCAGATTCTTTGCAGTTAATGGAAGGAAGTCAAGCTTCGTCATCTCTTACCCTGGCACAGTTCCAGTTAACACCAAAGTTTTTATCAGATACACGTTAACCCTGCTATGTTGATAATGAAGATCATTTGTTATGCTTGTTGCACACTTGTCTTCCACCCATCATGCACTCTACTCTGCCCCAGAACTATGCCCATGTGACTGAGAGCTAGAGGAGGCCAAGCACAGCTGTGAGAAATACTGCACAGCCACCAGCTGCAATGCTAAAAAAAAATCTGAACATGCTGTGTTCCACTCTCAGATCAAGGCCAAACCATGGTTTAAGAAGAGGTCCTCAGAGATCGAGGGTTGGTTTGGAAGATGAGATTTTTGTAGATCAACAGGAAGCACCTCGCCACCTCACTATCAGATGTGCCAGTATAGAAAAGCAAAGCACCGGAGCTTACAGTTGCTTTTTTTTTTTTTTTAAATCAAAACCACTGAAAGTCTATGTCTTTTGAAGTAAAGAAACAAAAGGTGCTGACTGAAACTGCCATTTAAGGTGTGACATCTGCCACTTTAGGCACAAATAATCCCATCAGGTCAACAGTTTTCATAGTCTTTTGAAAGAAATAGAAGAATTGATATTTTTCCCAGTGCAGATAAACTGCTCGGTGGATAGAAGGTCTGTGTACCACAGCTAGTGGGCATGGTGGTGATGGGTTGACAGTTGGACAAGATGATCTCAGCAGTCTTTTCCAACCTTAATGATTCTATGATTCAGTAATTTCATAAAAGGACTTGCATGTTCATCCCAATCACCCAGTGCCCCTCTCAGTAATGTTACACATGAGACATCACACCTAACAGCAGTTGTGTTAAAGCCCAGTGGATGGGCTTTGCACACTGCAGAAAACAAATAGCTGTAACCTGCTTTATGGGGAATGTACACCTGTGCGCCCTCTGTAAGACATGGTCTGATAACCTCCAGTTTTACCAGGTGATTTGCCACTTCTTGATTCTCTTTTGCTATTTTTGTACTGAATACGTTGCATGGGTACAGTCATACAAGAAGCCCAAAGAATACAAAGCTGGGTGTCTGTCAGTTAGACCCACACACCCAAAGGGAAGGAAAAGAGTAAAGTCGGTGGAGCTGAAGGTCTATTACTTACACATAGTAATTACTATGTTGCATCATGATCCAGCAGCATTCTTTTTGTATGGGAGGCAGATGCAGCCGTGGTATCCAGTTCCTACCTCCCAAAGTAACCTGCATAGCACATAAGACCCTTACAAGCCTTGATGGAAGGAGTGGGCTCTTGGGCTGTAAACACATCAAGTCTCCTAGTTTCACTTTCTTTGTTTATACCCTCCACCTCTGAATCTTGCTTGTTTATGAGGCAAAAATAAAGGTAATCATGTGAGGCTTACTAAGTTGTCAGCTCCTGGTCCCTAAAGTCTATCAGATGGGACTGCTCTTGGCAAACCACACACTTTGCCATATTATCAGGTCAAACAACAGCTTGCCAAGCCCCGCTTCTCTAATTATCTGTTTTTGCAATATTTTCACCCACATCACCACAAATATCCCAAGGCCCATTTTGCATCGTAAGGTGAGCAGGCAGTGAGGTGAGTGCAGAAAGAAGAGTTACAGCAATAGTTACATGAAATCTGAAGTTTGCACTTCTGTGAAAAAGGCATCACCTTGCATCACTTGGTTTCCTGCTGTTACCCCCCTAAAAGAGTGTGCAGGCTGGATGTGGCTCAGGGCAGCCTGATCTAGTGGTTGACAACCCTGTCCGTGGCAGGGAGGTTGAAACTAGATGATCATTGTGGTCCTTTTCAAGCCAGGCCATTCTGTGATTCTATGAGTCTATAAATGATAGGAGTCTGCCCAAAGAAAAGTCTGCCCAAACCCAAAGAAACAAGGTGTACAGTGTGTTTGTTCCTTGGTTCTCCTGAGTCACTCCTCTTGGGGCATGCTGAGACTGCACTGCAAGCACTGCTAAGGCCACGTCCTCTGGAAGAAGAGGGGTTGCACAGACTGATGGCAACGTGGGATGTTTTGAGATATAGCACCAAGCTCCACACCGCGACATTGCTGTCAGCTAGGACCTTCCCACCTTCCAGACAAGTGCTAATGTTTCCTGGGTCTCCCTCTATCCCACATCCTTGTCAGGAACAGGGAACACAGACCTAGAGCTGAGCTTTGGCACCAGCCCACACCACCAGCCCATGTGCACAAAAAGGTTGAGGGGAGAGGAAAGTATTTATTTTCATGCCCAGCCTGCTCTCCACCCTGCTCCTTGCAGCAGATTCCCCATTCTGTGATCTCCACAGCTCTGCTTTTGTAGTCCATTTCAGATCAAAAATGCTATCCCAAAGATAGCAGGAACCAGATACAGGAAGAAGTGCTCAGATGGTGCCAGGAATGAGTCAGGAGGAGGTCTTGGAAAGCAGGAGAGGCAGGAGAGGGTGCACAGAATAGGTTTCCCAAGGAAGACCACCAGAGCTTAGAGGACAGCAGAGCTGGCTACAGAGCTTTATATGGAACCAGCCTCATCCCCTCAGTACGGACAGTGATTTGCAAGGTGAACAACCCTTGGTTTTGGGTGAGTTTTAAGCAACAACTACTATTTTCAATGAAAAAAAAAAAAAAAAAAAAAAAAAAAAGCCTAAAGAAAATGCTTAGGAACCAGCTGAACCAAGCCCTCAGGCTGAATATTTCCAACCGCAAGGGTCAGTTGGTAGTGGCATGCCATCAACATCATACATATCCTTTCAGTTTTACATAGGTGATCTTCCCACGCCCTTTTTACATTCCTAACAGCAGCAATTCACTCCCTAGCCTGAACCCTAATTTCAAATTCTTATTCCCTTTCCCGCTTCCCACAAGTACACACATCTCCAGGAATCTCCATGCTATAATGGCATGGAGCTGCATCAGGGGAGGGTCAGGTGGGAGTTAGGGACAGGTTCTTCACCAGAGGGTGGTGGGGCCCTGGAACAGGCTGCCAAGTGGGAATGGCTCAGAGCTGCCACCATTCTGGACACCATTCTCAGACCTTGGGTTTGGATTTTGAGTGGTCACATGTGGAGTCAGGAGTTGGAGACAGCGATCCTTATGGGTCCCTTCCAGCTGAAGATATTCTCTGATTCTATGATTCTATAGTTACTGTAGCAGGATTAAATAAATGGGGAAAAAAAATCAATACTGGAAACATTGTTAAGAGACTTAGCTTCTAACTATTATGAATCTTGTTTTGTGAAACAGAGGACTTCATATTATCACAAACTTGTATAGTTAATTATACATGTTTTGTATGATTGATTTTAGTCTTCATATTGAGAGGTGATTCACTTGGTCACTTGAAATTTGGAGCACAAAATATGTTGGGCATGAAATGTCATCAGCCTCATCTGGGAGTGATCATTTTGCGCCAGTTCTAGAGTAACATTTCTGCCTTAAGTTAGTGATGTGGCAGGTAAATTTGCATCCGAGTGGCTTTTACTTACAGGTAAACCAAATTTTCTTTGCAGATGAGAGCATCCTTTACTTCTTTCTATCTGAAATTGTGGCTTAAAATATCTTCTGTGGACTACTTGCCAACCCCCCACACCCCCCAGTTGGGGTAGCATCCATAGGAAAGCACATCTACTGCATGCATAACATTTCTGCAAGCAGCCAGATGCATTGACATGTATCTAATGATGGAAAGATGGAACTGTGACATATTTCATCAGATCTCAGCATCATTCATTTCAGTATGGCCAGAATCTGTGGAGCTACTTCATCTGATACCTGCCTGTGAGTAAGTGTGTATGTCTTACAGTTAGCTGTTCCTCAAACAGAGCTTAGGAAAATCATAAAACCACTGCTCAGATTTCTGGCTGTAGTCTCAGAGACTGAACAGATCACATTTGTTTTCTGTTCTCTAACCTACACTAGAACAATTTCAGTCTTGGTTTAAAAATATATATATAAAAATAATTTAAAAAGGCATTGTTGACTTTCAGTGTGCACTGGGAAACTCAACTCACCTACTTTTTGGCATGTGTGGATTACAGTAAGGATGGTGAAGCAGAGGTGACACCTGCTAAATCACTCTCTTCCTTTCTAAAGCTGTTTATCAATAAGAAATCTCCCACCTAAACTTCATGTTGCAGATATAACACCATTTTCACAAATTCTGCAGAAAGGCTAAAACTTTATGGAAATATCATTTCCTCTACACTTAATAACATGACATAAAATAAAAAAACAGCTTTTAGCTTTCTTTGTTCATGCCTTAGTCATTGACAGCCGGGGTTTTCTGGAAGAAGTGGTAACTTCAGTAAATCCTCTATTTTCTCAAGAAAATCATGAAGCCTCTGTCACAGTAGGAGAGCAAGAGGAACACTCAACTAATGAGGACTGTG